AGCTTCAGTGGTTACATATTACATGGGTTTTACACCTAAATCATGGAGAGCCCCATAAACTGACTTACTTTAGTGAAGATGTAGCTTGGCAGTTAAGATGCTAGCCTTCCAATCCCAGGGTCCTGGGTTCAAATCCTGTGACAGCACAGGATTTTTTGTCAGACTAAAGAAGCATCTCCACTCCCTAAGCCTTGTATGAGACTTCGCTGATACAGCATCACTTTATTCTATTTGTTTAAGAGGAACCTGAATATCAGCCGACTTCCAGAGGACGTCACACCTTTATAAATAAGATGATTTTCAAATATTATTGGAATTATAAATATGATAATTAGATGAATGTCACTTTAATAGGCACTTATGAGAATGAAAACTTGTGCGGAAGACCACTTGGATTGCGTTTCGACAAGGCTGGGTTCTTATATGTTGTGGAAGCTTATTCCGGGCTATATAAACTTAATGTGTCCTCAGGTTGGTGGAAGGTTTATATGTTATGTAAATTAAGCTTTCTGCGCATGCGATGCCGCACTGCTGCCTCCTTTGCACTATGATCTGGCTTGCTATATTGATTACAGAAATGGACCTAAGGCAAGTTTTATATAGCATATTATTGCCGTCCTCTATGCACTTTAAATTTTTCATTCGAACGCTCATAGAACAGGCTATTTTCTGATCAGCTCCACCATTGGAGAGTAGGCTTATTCAATAATAGGCATATTACAAATAATACTCCATTGTACTCCTGGGTTTTGAAAGAAACAACGAGAATTAACATCTTAACGTCTTTGGTTGGTGCCTTGCTTAATGACACAAGTAACCATGGACGTCGACGGTGGGGGACAGAGGGTTCCCCACTTTTCAAAGTAAGGGTAACATCATATCAATTGTTCCCCTCCCCCACCAACTTTTCACCAACCTTCTATAGTTAATCCCACTTTCCAAGAAAAGAACAACAACAATTACGAATGACTGTCATGAATGTTGTCTATTCACTTGTGCTCTGTTAGGTGCAGTGCGTTTTTCCGGACCAATACCTAGATACTGTAAACGCAATTGTATTTCGTAACCATCTCAGTAACCACTCCATCGATTTTATGGATGCAACTGTTATCAGAGGCTAAATTTATTATGAAAACAATGTACTGTACTGTACGTTGTTAAAATTGGAAGCGTGTAAACCTATTAGGACATTTTTACAAACTCATAAATGCACAATTTCTACTATAAACGATTTATTCCTTTTGTATATTATTAAGACCCGCGTATATACTAGTGTTAATTATTATCTGCATACATATATTCCAGTATTTTTTTTTTATTTAAAAAAATTATAGTTAGTCAATTGATTTTTATATATCAGTTATTACACAATAATTATACATCCTTTCACACGGATAGTTCTGTCTATTTCGACATATTATTTAAGAAGTGATATCACAAAACTCCGATCTTGACGCAACCTCGCCATGACATCATGATAATGATAAATTAAGTATATCACCTTTTATGTTTGTAAAATAAAAATGCTGCGTTATGTTGTGTGTGCTTCCTATCTCCTTAGTTATGTTTGATTACAAGTTATACGGTAGTATTTTCCACTCACAACAGTGTAGTCGCAATACTACTCGTACAAAAGTGAAATTCAAAAAGAGGAGAAAAGGCTTGATTTTAAAATTTTTGTATGCAAAGAGACTATAGAATTGGAATGACGGTTTAATGTTTATCCATGATGGAACATGGTTTACCATTTGTTGTTCATGGTTCGAATACGTCACAAGCTAATCAGTAGGTAATTATTATTTTTGTGAATGCTAGTTTGTACGAAATATGTTAGCGGGCATGATTATGATTACTAGGACAAATTACTGGGCCCTAGATCTGCCACAGTGGCAGATATAGGGCCCAGCCTGCCCACGCCCTATTTATTTTTTCAAAATTTAAAAGTGGAGAAAAAAGAAAATTATATTTAAATATACCATTTCCGGCCAAACTAGAGGTGCCATAAGTTTCTTACTTCAGCCCCAACCATGGTGGAGTTGAGGTGGTCTGCACTCCATCTGTAAAAATCCCTTCCTGCCCCCCCCCCACCTCTATTTGGAATTCCTGGACCCGCTATTTGAAAATGTAGTGTGGAAATAAGTTTTAATAGAATTCCTAAAAACGCCAGCTTCCTGGGGCTTCACCCTCTAGATTCCCACCGGGGGCCCCTCGACGGCCCCCTGACCGCAGCCAAAGATTGGGCCTACGGCCGAAGACTTCCTTTTTTTTGCAATTCGTCCCCCCCCCCACTTCACAACGGATCGGCGCAGTTGCAAGCAACTTACCCAAAGCATGGAGAGGTGTCAAAGTAATTCACGCATGTCGAGAGTAGAAATGATTGGAATGTTTCAGCAATTTCACCATATAAAACATTATTAGCAAATGGCATAATGATTACAAAAACACCATGTACGAGTCATAATCGGTTTATGTTCCTTTAGGTGAGATGGTACAGTTAGTGAACTCAGACGATAAATCTGTTGGTCAACCAATGAAATTCGTAAATGACCTTGACGTCACTAGTGACGGTGCGGTATACTTCAGTGATACGAGTGCTAATTTTGAACGCCGTGATTTCGCACATCTTTCTATTAATGCTGATAAAAGTGGACGGTGAGTTATAATACCCTAAAGTTATTAAATTTCTTTTAAAATTTAACGGACGATGCGTACCATTAATAATAATGATAATAATAATAATAATAATGATAATAATAATAATAATAATAATGATGATAATAATAATAATAATTGTTAATTGTATTGTTATTATAACCTACGACTATTATTATTATTATTATCATCATCATTGTTATTATTATGATCATTATCATTGTCATGTCATTGTTATTATAACCTACGACTATTATTATTATTATTATTATTATTATTATTATTATTATTATTATTACTATTATCATTTTTATTACTATGATTTTGTTGACGTCATAGTCGCACGGGAAACACTAATTCAGATTATAATTAAACTCCGGATGATTTAATAATGTTGTGCTACTTTAACGAAGTGAATCAAATTGAGGCATAGAAAGCAAAAATGATCTCTCTGAGATCATTATGTGATGGATGACATGAGATTTACCCTTTTACGAATTTACTTGCAGAATATTCAAGTTTGATCCAAACACGAATAAGACTGTTGTAGTTCAGAAGGACTTAGGCTGGGTAAACGGGGTCCAAGTGTCTCCGGACGAAGACTACCTTTTGTACTCAGAAGGTCAATTTTCCCGCATAATGAAGTGAGTCACGTAGGAATGCAAGGTCACTAAGATGAAGGTGGGGTTAAGGGGAACCTTAACCGCAAGGACACCCTGATTTCTAATCGATATCACTCTGGTTCACTGTGACTTAATTTACATTTTCCAAAGGGCCAAGGCCTTCCCCGTGACTACGACCTTAAAATTACTAAATATGATACTAGAAATGTTACAACTAACATAAATAAGATTTAGCTATTAATACACTGCAAATCAGTGGCGGCGCCAGGATTTCCCAAAAGTGGGGGGGGGGGATCCAAGGTCCCCGACGAGGGGGTAGGGGGCGCTAATGTTCCCGACGAGAAAAAAGTGTGCGTGGTCGGGCGTCGCTAAAAACCTTTCGAAAGTGGTCCAGGGGACGTGTGGTCCAGGGGACGTATCCCCCCGAAAATATGACAATTTATGGGGTTTGAAAGGCTTTTAATCGATTTTAGAGTCTATTAATACTGTATGTACAAAATACATAATATTTTGATTTTTTTTTCTCCCCAACGAATTGTGGCTTTTCTCCCCGACGGGGGTCTGTTAACCCCACTAGCGCCGCCACTGCTGCAAATATGGGTAGAATACTTTGATTAACGTGAAAAAAGCGAATTGAAGTAGAACATATAAAGGAGACACTAATCGAATAAAGTTAGGTTACTGAAGAGAAGAGGAGGAGCCAGAGTGCACGAGAGGTAGCGGGAGAGGAGGATGGAATGATGACGATGAGAAATTGGCATGGACATCATGGGTAGGTTTATGGTGATGTAGATTTTCAGAAGATGGCATGATCACCGCTATGATGATGGCATCATCCACTGTACCCTCTCCTTTATCGACAGTAATCCTCTTTACACAAATCCAATAACCAATGTATTTTTTCAAAGGTTACATTTGGAAGGGCCCCAAAAGGGCAAGGTGGAAGTGTTTTCCGACAATCTACCAGGATTCCCCGACAACATCAGACTATCCCGCAAAAACAGCTATTGGGTCGCCATTAATGCCCTCAGAAAACAGTTATCCCTATATGACTTCCTGACGGATAAACCACGACTGCGAACACTGCTCCTGAAGGTAGGCTGAACACTTTTAATATCAGAATAATATTTTTCTAAAATGGTTTCTTCGCAGAAGGCATAATTTTTTGTAAAAATATTAGATAAAACCGTGTTGCCATAGTATCACACCAAAAGTAAAGCATCATATTCCATTATTATTATTATTATTATTATTATTATTATTATTATTATTATTATTATTATTATTATTATTATTATTATTATTATTATTATTATTATTATTACCACCCTATTTCATACTGTTGTGCTACTATTGTTTTTTTCATTTCTTATTATTATTATTATTAATCCATAATTAACCAATAATTATTATTTATTTTTCAGGTCGTTGATCCAAATTTTTTTCTGAAATCATTGACAAAATATGGCTTGATCATTGAACTCGATATCCATGGCAACATCATCCGCAGCCTCCATGACGAAGATGGCGGTGTGTTACATAGTTGTAGTGAAGTTTTTGATACAGGAAATACATTGTTTATAGGCTCGTTCAAAGCTAATTTCATAGGAAAGTTGGAATTATGATAGAGACTAAAGGAATAAATTTGATCGTTTATCTATTGTTCTTTATCTTTTAGTTGGATTACCTATTACGGTATCACTGTGTTTACTATAGAAACCAAAAAAATTCATGTAGCCTACAAAAACGATAGGCCTAACATTAATTATGATGATAGGCTTAAATGTATTCATAACAATGATAACGACAATGATGATGATGATAAATATTAATATATAAATAATATCAAAAGTAATAATGGTAAGAATATACAAATAAACAACAAAATCAGCAACTAAAAACAACCCAACCTCAATAATCATGACAATAATTTGTCAATTTCACATTATCCTACAGTTTGGCCTACTGAAACTGTTATATTTACGGAAATTATATCACCAGACTAGGGAATGTCTATATATGTGTAGCCTGACGTGTGTACATTTTTATTGATCGAATATTTTCAACATATTTTATAGATTAGTCTGTAAATCCACAGCCTGAATTCGTTTAGCCAATACAATGGCATTGCTGTTGAGTTATTATCGAGGGACCTGCATTGAAAGATACCATACATAAACGTAAAAACAATATAAAAAAAAAAAAACCACGGACCATAATCATTAAAAGAAGAAGAAGAAGAACCAAACAAACACCGAGAGACCTTTTGGAAATCCGGAGTCTGTGTTGTTTCCTTGCCAACCAGCCATTAAATCAAACCATCCTTAACACCACTTCTAATCATGTTCACTTTTAAACACCTTGGTATTTGTGACCTTAAAGTATTAATTCTACGTCATCATGTTGTTAAGCTCGTACAGTTTTCATCCATGAAAATGCTGTGTGTTCATTTACATAATTTGAGCTGTAGGCCTACGTGCGCGTGACCATGACGTCTCAATGTAACTCATTCCGCTATAAATATGTCAAACTCTATATTGGCAGAAATGTAATAATTCGACGAACAAACCCCATCAAAGTATCAGGAAGTTGTATGTGTCTACTTGGCCTAGAATTATTAAATTGCACCGTTCACCCTCAAAGTTCAAGCTTTTCACGCAATTCTAAACACACGTACGCGACAAGAATGGATTTGTTTATTTAATTTTTTTTTAAAGAATGTTTACACACCCACACACACCCTTCCTGGATGCACACCCACGATTTAAGCTGATTAAATGTGACTAGTTTTTACTGAAGAATACATAATGTTTTGAAAGCGCACGGGTGACCTTCCAACTGTTTTATAATTAGGTTATAGAGTAATTCATAAAGATGAGGGGGGTAGTAACCTCACATGACTGGCTAAATCCGTAAAAAGGTATGTGTACGAACTGAAATCCTTTGCTGTGCCTTACAAACTAAAATTATACGAGAATTTCCTTTTGCTGATTTCCACGTGAAAACAGTTAATGGTGTATGAAAACATAATACAAACTAACAAAATGTCTTCTAAAAGAGATAAGCCTATAAAACTGGCCTACATACTCCCATTGAATGCATTTATCCTGTTGTAGAATAGGCCTATTAAACTTTATGACAAAATTGACAGTAATGGCGCTATTGTAATACAATGTGTTTCCACTTTTCGATGTATGGTAGCCCCTATATTATTTAACCAAGTTACAAGCAAGAAATTATTATGTGTTGGTGACGATCCAATTTAGGGTGCAAATGTGAGGGTCATTTTAATTTCTGACGTCTCAGACACAAACTGTCTCTAAAAAAATATCAATGGGTCTAACTCTATAAATGGAAATTTCTACAATAGTTTGTTAAAGTCTAGTAGAGAAATGATTAGATTTTTGTGACGATCCGGAGTAGGGTGTGGATATGAGAACCATTCAAAGGAAAACGTCCCAGACGAGATATTTCAAAAACAGTTCAACTGATCTGAACTGACCTTTCGGGAAAGTTTATAACCAAGTTACAAGAAAGAAATTATTAAATGATGGTGACCATCCAGTTTTGGGTGTGAATTTGAAGGTCATTTAAATTTCCAACGTCCCATTCCTAAATATCTCCTAAAACCTATCAACGGATCTAAATGCAACTTTCATATAATAGTTTGTAATGATCCAATAAAGAAATGATTAGATTTTGGTGACGATCTGGAGTAGGTATGAGGACCATTCAAAGGGAAACGTCCTAGACCTGACATACCAAAAAACTGAATCTAACTGATCTTAATTAAACTTTTTGGAATGTTTAACCATAGAAAGAGGAAACCTGGTCGCCAGCGCATTCTGTTTTTACAATATATCCAGCGCCTTTTGGGTGATCCTGAGGGAATGCTGCAGCCACACCAAATCATCTCAATGGCCCAAAATCGCAAAAACTGGAGAAAACTTGTGGTCGCCTGCTTTCCAGCCGACTGATGATAATGATGAACCAAGTTACAAGGAAGACATTACAGTATTTAACTTTGGTGGCGATACAGATTCGGGTGTGAAGTTGATAATCATTTTAAGTCCTAAGTTCCCAGACTTAAGTATCTGAAAAACTGACCAATGGACCAAAATACAACTTTATAGAATAGTTTGTCATGGTCCACTAAAGAAATGATGAAATGTTTGTGACGATCCGGAGTAAGGTGTGGACATGAGGGTCATGTAACTGTAGACGTCCCAGACCAGATATCCCAAAAAAGTTGTTTAATGAGCTACAAATGCACTGACCTACGCAGAGTCGGCTCATATACCGCGCAATGGTTACGAGTCTCCATAGCACCCTCGCTATTACTATTGCAGCTATAGTTTGAGTCTCACTAACGTCGCCTTGTCGTGAAATTAGTTTCCATTGGGGTGGGGGTGGGGGAGGTTTGCTTCATAATTTTTTAAAAGTTTTTAGTAGTAAGTAGTCTTTTTGCGTGTGTTCTTCACATTTTAATGACAATTTTGTTGCAATTTCAACATCACTTCTCATTAAGGCAATATGGAAAAACCCTGTTTTCTGTTGTACACACATATAGTATGTCTAGTTTACTATTGATGTTATGCTGTTGTTGATAAACGTTATGAAAACAAAGGTCATGTTAAATACCCAACAGAACATCACGGTACTTTAGCTGTTTCTTATCGTAAGTAAAAGTGGATTAGTTTAATTTGTCTAATTTTAGAAGACATTTTTAAAAAATGTCTGATCCTCATGGTATTCTTATAAATTGTGCCTGATAAAGAAAACATGTATCTGGAAAGAATCCAGCGGAGGGCCTGTAAAACTGTTAGGACAACTTTATCAAAATTATGATAACGCTCTCACTCTGTGGATTAGCCCCCTTAGGGGACGCGGAGAGAACATTTGCCTAGATTTCTACAGTTCACTTAAATGGTTAATTTCAGAAATTTGATCCCTAAAGCCAAATTTGAATGCCATGGTAGGAAACTCGGAAATATTGCCAATCAACTGTCTCTCCCTAGAGGACCAATAAATATTTTAACAGTCCACTGCAATACATGACCCGACTGTGGAATGAGAGGAAGGCCTAAAAGTTTCCAATACTATATTTTTAACATATTTTTTAGGGTAATGCGTTTGGTTAATACTTTTACTTGTTTTAAATGTCTTTTTATTTGTCATGTGTAATATTGTTTCTGTATCGGATTTTAAATTATTTAAGATTTGGTGTTTTATAGTTAAGATTTTATTATTATGCTTTTAACGTCAATTTTTCTGTAAAATTGTAACAATTCAGATATTTTATTACAAGTGCAATTATTTTTTAATACAAAAACCGGTATGATTGAATGAATGTATCATGTCATGACACATAGGCCTATAGCAAATTCTTGCGATACTACTGGTTGTTTCCTTCTGAGAGGAAGACACAAGATACCAAGGCAATAGATGTATTCACATCATATTTTTATTCCATTTAATATTTATGCGATTTTCGGGCTTAGGCATACATTGTATGTTTTTATTAAGTTTTATTTTTATTAGGCTTACCTATTAAAATAAGTTTCTTTCTATTGTCTGTAACTATTCTCAAAATGAATAGTCCTCCTAACGTAAGAAAATCAATAGCAAGTCTACAGATAAGATATATTTAGGCCTATATTAATACTGAATCTCTCATTTAATGAGACAAGTGTTCTTATTCTGTCTCTTATACACATCTAGATGTGTATAAGAGACAGTTATAGATCTACGTGATATAAGAAAAGGTGTAATGTAATTAAATATTATGATAACAATATATTTATTCGAGAAAGCGTCAGAGGACATGATATTTGATGACGCAACAAAATTACTGAACAAAACATGCATAAAATGTTGGTATACCTGGCGTGCCAGCTGCAACAACAAATGTTTGTTATGGTCCTACTTATAGTTGTAAACTTGTGTAGTTTTTAACTAATGACTCAACAACCTTAAACACGTCCCGCAGTTGGTCTTTGACCAAGTTTTGTAAATGTAGTTAACCTCATTTCGTAGGCTGACTGGCAGTAGGCCGTCGTAAATTACTTGGCGCCCGGAGTGTTTAACATTTGGTTTGAAATTGATCCGTATAAAACCATGAAATTTGGAGCACCGTCGGCGGAATTTCAGGTTACGAAAATTAGGCTTATGGTTTTTCTACCCGAAAGCCAATAAGCTGCGGAAAACATGCTTATCTGACGATTAAAGAAAACAAAATACAGACTTGAAGAAAAAAAAAAACGTTTTGATTGACGGATCTTAACCATTTAGACAATAAAATCGATGGAAAAAGTTCGAATACAAAAAAAACCGCAAAAAAAAAAAAAAAAAAAAAAAAATAAGATTGTTGGTTGGAGACAGAAGATTTTGTATAAATCCAGCTAATCCAGATGATTAATCTAATCCCGCGTTCCCAATCGAATTAACGATGTCGAAGTCATCTGGGAAAATAATATGCGAGTGAAAACGTTCCGATATCTCCTTTGGTGAAGTTCTGCTCGCAAAGGAAGGGAGTCTCTTGAAGAATAAAACTTATTCTCGGCGTGTGAATCAAAGATTGTGTTCAAAAGCTGAAAAACATATTTGACTGAAAATAGTGTCCACCAAATTCACGAAACGTAGCTGTTCGATAAATAAATATACAGGTAAAAAAACAAACGTGTTGGCGTTTACGGGTATGTAATGTTTCGGCACCGTGCAGTGGTAGTATTTATGTACGTCTAAATACCCGACGGCAGACAGCATCACCTTTGATACATTTCACTACCATATCATCACCATTTAATTCACGAATGATCTGATGTGGTGGGTCGGTTTTCTCAACTTCATCGAAAACTAGCTTATCGCCATCCCAACTCACGATGACCATTGTTTTATCACCCGTAGGCGCAAGATCTTGGAACGGTTCACCTATTTTAAATTTTTGGATGTGAGTATTCACCATAGGAACGTTCATCTTGATCTCAAAATTATCTCCGTTTTGAGTTACTTCACAGGACGGCGACATTAAACCTGCCATCTTCCGCATTGCCAGGCCAACACCCATCGCTTTCATATACTCGTCGAAGTTCTCACTTTTCGACAATTTGTACTTGCCGGCGAAATTAACAACCATCTTGTGATGTGCGATATGCGTAAATCCGTTAATAAAGTGTTCTTTGTCACTGTGCTCTATCTGTACTATGACAGTTTTCGATACGTTCACGGTGCGTTCACGGTGAATATCGCAGCGAGAATGAATTGACGAGTGACGAATGAGTCGGTCTAATTTCTGCGGTAGTTTTTTTGGGAAGCTGGTATCAGCAGTCGACATAACCGGGACAGTTCACGTGTCTTGTCCATTAAATTAACATTCACTTTCATTTCTCAGCGGGACCAATACTGTACTTTATTGACATCCCATCAACCCATTAGAGCCCACTAGACGTATTCACCTAAGTATTATCAGACTATCGGAGATTATTATAAGTAAATTTTAACGCACTATTAGACCCATAATTAACCAGAGCGTGAAAGGGGTAGAATACATGATTTTCAAAAACGTTATATAGGCCTATATGATATAAGTGTGTGGTACTGCGAACCGCAAGCTCGAACGAAGCAATTTATTGAGTAATTACACATTATACGCCATAGCCAGGGTTATGACGGAGGTAATTTTCATGACAATGGATAGGCGCAAAAACTAACAGTAGTGACGGAGATTAAACCAATCATCGTCGTCCGGTTTTTGCACATAAAACTTCGACGTGGCTTTTGATAATGGACATTTATGGGGTGTCAATCAAACTTAACAATGACCAATCCGAACATCGCTAAAAATACGCGTTTATCCCCCACAAGCACATGTGTGTCTCACAAACGCACGCGTTTATACGTAGGCCCATAGGCTATCTTGGGACCAAGGGGCGTTGCTTACCGGAAAGGTCCATTATTTAATTTTTTTTTAAATTGTTCTTATTTATTTGGTGTAATATAATCTTACAGATTGTATTACTTTACCATTATTTAATTTTTTAATTTTTTTCTTGTTATTTATTTGGTTTAATACAGTCTTACAGATTGTAAAACAATGCAATATAAATACTGTACTGCTGTATACGTTCGCATCAAACTAATATTAAATCACATCATGGAGTACGCATTCCATGCCATGCCATAATTCCCTCGAGATTGGTACTAGGCCTATATCTGTTTTCAATGGAATATTCGTTTAAAAAATAGGTTCATAATTGTAGCAATATGATGTTAGTACATTTTTTATTAACATGACCTTTCGGTAATCATTGAACCATACGTTAAAAAAACCCGATGTTATAAAAGTGTTAGTTATGTTATCACTTAAAAATTAAAACTATAATATATTTTCCTAGCTAATAAACTGACGCATTATTACTGTTTCTAGTTTACTTTTATAGACCGATATTTAAAGTGGCTGATAGGCCTACTTATTTATAAGGGTTTTCGTAGTAAAATGTCTGCTACTTGTAACCTATTTAATTTTATATAGCGCTTTCCGCTGCGGTTGCAAACCGCTAACTACTCCACTGATTAAAGTACAACCGGGTTCCACTCGAGCAGAGGCTCAACAACAACCAGATAAAAACATGGAGCATTCAATTCATTTATTTTCCAACAGACATAAAACTACACCAGTCAATTGGATCGTTGGAAAGTGAAAACAGATCACTATATTATGAAAACTCACCTGATGTAGGGCAAAATTAGAACTGAAATACACAATAATATATATAACAATGGTGGGGGAAAGCTGGGCAACCAAAAAGATTAGTGACTTCTGCTGATAGTGTATCCCAAATTCTTGGGAAGGAAATAAAAGCTGAATAGAAAAATGCATTTGTAGTGAACGCCTATGTCTGAAAATCAGTATATTCTACGAGAAAATAGGAGGGGACAACAATTCACCACCAACAATGGCGTAACGCTGGGGCAGGGGGTAATGTGGTTTACTGAGACTGGGGGCCCTTTTTGGGTTTATGGGATGTTAGATGTGCCTTTGTTTGTCATTGTATATTTTTATGTTAATAATATTATTAATGCTAGATATTATTAACGACGAAATAATTTACATATCAGTGGCAGATCTAAGAATTTGAAATAGACGGGACCAGGAAGGGATTTCATGGATGAAGACCCTACCACCTCAGCCCCACCATGGTTGGGGCTGAGGAACTGCAAGAAAATTTATGATTATGGCACCTTTAGATGGCCGGAAATGACACTCACAGACTTCACCACTGAATTAAACTTTCATCTCCTCTTTAAGAACATTTTGACAAATTTAGGGGGCTCATTGACTACACTTTTTTTTAATAAGAACCAGTAAAATTTTGCCCAGGCTCAGTGTTCTTATTTTTTGGCTGATTTTAGGCTCAAAATGTTCTTATTTTACACACTTTTTAAACAAAGAAAATTATATTAAACAGTAGTATATTACTGTAAATAAAAATGGTCCCTGAAAAAAAAGGCACCAGAAAAAAAATGGCCCCAGAAAATAGACCCGGTAAAAATAGCCCCAAATGACAGTTAGGCCTACTCCTACTGTACTATATATTAATGGAGGGTATTACATAGTCACAACTACTGCACATAAGGTACAAATACATATTTATTTTGTTTTTCTACTTTAAAAAAACATAATTAAAAACCTCATTTGACATTTTACCTCAGCCTCAATTTGTTCTTATATTGTTCTTAATATTTAAGTTTCAGCCTCAGTGTTCTTATAAAATGTATTCTTATTTTTAAAAAAGTGTACTGTATCACACTTGCGAGTTTACACAAAAAAACCTCGCCGTTGTGTGACCGGGAAGCCAAATATGTGTGGGCATGAAAGAATCATTGGTGTGAAGGGACATGACCACAGCATGAAGTGTCACTCAACATACAGTACCTATATATATACAGTAAGGCCACCAGAAAATGTTTAAAGGTGCAAGTGCAAGTAGACTTTAACGTTTCGCTGTTGTCTGCTCAGAATTCATTCATTCATTGTTCCATTGGAGATTCTCAATCAGTCCAACAAATCCCGGGTTTACCAAACTGACCAATTGTTAGTATGAGGAGCCTAGGACAAAATTATATTTGGTGTTCATTTATAACTAAGTAATTGATCCGTCAAAAATCTATCCTGAATGGACTGATTCTGATAAAATACAGGCATGCATGACTGGAAAATAATGAACAAGATAAAAAAATATGGGATTGGAGCTTAAAAAACTATTTATTACAGATGTGTATATCCGGATAAATCAGTCAATCAAATAAAATTATGACAACCGACTTGTCATGCGTTAGGTAACACAGCTGGCATGCGTTGATCGGATTGAAAAGTAGGCCTAGTCGAGGGTGTGGTCTATTCAAGGAAAACTAAATCAAACAGCAAAGGTATTCAATTCTTCCATGATTAACGTCAATATTAAAGAAAAATTCCACGCCTGGCTTTAAAGAATCTGTTATTAATCCAAGGGTATGATAATCTAGACGTAATAGGTGTCGAAAAATAAGAGAAATCATTATTGGTGTAAGCATGTAAGTATTAATCTGGTTATGAAACAGCTATTTGAGAACAATAGTCGACAGTACGCAGGTAAATGAAGCACAAGTACTGTACGTCAAAATTTATCTTCAAATCAATAAGTGTTCATTTAATATACATAATTTAATAAATTCTAATGAAATCTCACATCATTACAAACTTTAAATGCCCTTTCTGAAAACAAAATAACAAAATTACTGTATACGGCAATCATTAATTTACAACTCCATACTATTTGTAAAACAGATCACTTCTTTCACCAAATAATCATTGATATATTTTACGGTATTTACAGCATACTTTCGTAACGAACACTTACATAAATCCTTTATAATAAATACATATATTGAAATATATAACTTACAAATAGTTTTATTTAAGAATAAAATACAATCGACTAACAAACGTGTGGGTGTTCAATTATTCTAGAATTAAAAAAAATGAAATCCAACCATAGTATCACTTGACTCAGACGAGAGTATAAAAGGCAAATTTCTGGACATTTACAAACCCAAAATTGTTCAGTTCAGGACCAACTACTGTACACTACACCCAATTCCACCAATAACGCTTCCTCGATCACCTCTGAATAAATCGCTACTTGACAAATGAAGACTCTTCCTACTTTAATGGACCTTACCAACTAACCATTCAGAACGTGACAAGAATACGCGCTTGTCCCGCAAAATTTCGTATTTTTGCTTATCTTTTATACTGTACAGTAGCTTCGTTTGACCTTAGCAACACTCTCCAAGGGGCGGGGCTTAGCGGAACGGTGCATTACAACATGGAGGATATCATGGCACATAGAAGACTTTGGGGAGACAAAGGACTACGACAAGACAGGGATTATCAGAGCATGATGTTTGATGATCAAATAATGTACATGACGATAAAATGAGAACATTAATGAGAACATAATGATTCAAAAATAAGACACATAATAGCATTGCTGACTCAGACTCAATGAACCATGATCAGTAAGGCGATTACAATTTCGAATAAACATAAATTACAAGAAAAAAACAAAACATAAATAATCAAAGTAACAAAACCAAATTAAAAAAAAACAGAATCCAGTACTGTATAACAAAATACAGAATTTCATATTTACGTTCTGTTCATCTACAACACTACATAGCCTACATAGTCTCACATTCGGCGTGAGATTCACATTTGGGGGTCTGTCCCACGCTCTTACACCTAAGGACCAAAATCCCATAATTAATGTAATTCCTATAATTATTATAAAATATATGTATTTGTGATTTTTGTAGCCCTCATTTTCTAAAACTTCTCCATCTACAGTACATAGTCTACATTACCAGGTAGCTGCACAACACAGTAGAGTAGATAACATGTCGTATTTAAAGCGCTGTTGGATAACATCAAAGGACGTATACATCAGCGTGAAAAATTTGAGTGGCGACGATCTGAAATACATGTATTCGCTATTAAAAGGGAAAAATGCAGATCCTGAATGAAATGCATTTTCAAGCATTTAGGAAATAAAATTTTCGGAGTGGTTTGGGGTTGACCCCCATAAAGGAGGGGTGGAATTTCAAGTCTCACTTCTGCAAATTTGTCTAATTTGTAATGTTATCTGCTACAGTTAAACAAGATTGCTCTTTAGAAAGACAAATTGACATCGCCACTCAGACTGGTATGGAGTATTTTACATGATAATGCATCAAAGAAAATTTTTTATATATTATAATTTTTTATATATATCTAATATTTTACAAATATCAACAATAATTTACATTCATAGCACATTATCAATTTCTTAAACCTAGGCTCTGGAGGAAACAAAAATGTATGATGTATAAAAATATTTATTACAGTAAATATAAATTGTCTCTATTTTATATCACAGGCACATAAAATGACCAACTAGAAAATAAATTTAGTTTCTTCTCCCCATTTCCTGTTTTTTTTAATTTAATTTTTTTTTTTTTAATTGCAAATCTTCCTATAGTCACTTGAGTAGTATATATTACAAATTATGGTAATTTTTTTCTTTTTCTAATTTGGCTACAGTGTAGATCACATTCAGTGTTACCATAGCAATTTGAACTGAAAAAGCTGACTACAAAAAACATAGTAATTTATCACAAGGTTTTCATACCATTAACATAGCTTTGTTTTGTAATAGTACCACAACTATTTGGTTCTGCACTATTATCACACCAAGTGGTTTTAATAGTTCAAGTTTATTAAAAAGCATGTTCGCAGAGGGTAGCTGAATTGCAATGATTTGTATATTAAAAAGAAAATATAATATATACACCGTACATGAATAAAAAATTACATTATAATTGAAATAGAATTATATTTACAAACTGATTACAAATTTGTCAAAATTACAATTTGATTATTATAATTATCATTATTACAAATAACATCAAAATTACATACACAATTGATTTAAATCAATTAAACATTGGGAAGAAATACGATCAACTTCCAAAGGTAGCTGTAGTAAATTGCATCTCTCCATTAGGAGTATTGTTGCAACCTGAGAGCATGTGAGGTGCACAAGGGTGCTAAAAACATTAAAAATGTGTTGTACAGTGCTGATAAAAATCACTGGTGTGGTAAAAAAAATTGGAAAAATTTACATTTGAAATGCAGCCTCTCAACCCCCTATGGAATACAACCTCAAGCCATGCAGATATCACAAAAACCCCTTCCCTATTTCATCCATACATTTATATTTACTGAGGTAATTGGGTGTTTGGACAACACAAGTCACCTCTCTCTTCTGGAATTACCCATCAGCTTTCGTCTATTAAAAGTGATTAAGTAATTTGTGGCTTAGTGTATTGCTGCTAATTAGGTGTGTGACATTTCTGCAATAGCTTTTGCTTTATCCAGATAATCTCAAACTGCTGTGTCGTCATCTATGTTCACCAATCCCGGAATCGATAACAAAGACCTGGGGGAAAACAGGACACCATCAGGCAAACACACTTAATTCATAGGCATAGCACATTTTAAAAAGTTTTTTTTTTTTTTGAAACCCAGATTTAGTTTTAAATATTCCTTTAAATAAGGACCACAGTTGTAAAATGATGCAATTGGAGACTGGTGGATTAATACACAGTAGGGAATGGGTACTACAGAATTGGGAATCAGGCTTGCGGGCTGAGAGCTTTGAAGGTCGGAGACTTGGGATTTAACTTGGGGACTTGAGGGTAGAGGAGGCCTTAAGTGGAGCGTGGATGAATGTTCGGAAGTTAAGGTTTCAGGAGGTAAGGGTTAGTGACCTGGAAACCTGATGGACTAGAATTGACAGGAGAGTTAATGGGCTGATGATTAGAATGCGGAAGTATTGACAGTTGGGGAAAAAGGGACTTGGGAAACTGAATAATTTGAAAACAGGAAAGTTAGGAAAATTGAGGATTGGGTTCTAAATGGTTAGAGGAGAATTAACTGAGGAGTTGAGAGATTTGAGGGTTGGAGGACTAGAGAGTTGAGTGACTTTGAAGTTTAAGAACTGGAAAGTTAATGATCTTGAGGGTTGGGGAGAAGACTGGAGAGCTAGGCAAAGGAGTTGCCTAGAATAAAAAAAATAAGAAAGTAACTTGAGAAAATGAAAATATGAAATTCTATAAGGTTCGTAGAAACAAATCTTGTAATATAAGATGACAAACATATGTTGGTGATTATTCAAATGCATCACTTAGACTAAATACTATCACATCATCTGGGTACAATAAACATGAAATATTCAATCATCAATAAATAATAAGTTTATAAGAACACTATAATTTATAATGTGTACCTTTATTATCGGATATATCTATACGCATATCATAATTAGTTAATTTGAACTTTCATTTGATTTTCATCAGTTTTATAAAATTCATTTCGTAATGGGCTTTACTTAGATTATATTATATATTATATGTATATTTATTTTATATCATATACTCCTTATATTATAGCTTCTATTTTACCATGACATACTTTTCACCATATATGCTTTTATATCGCAATGATTTATTAAATATGCAAAAATATTTATATATTGATAAATAATTTTCTAATGAGCGGCTACACTTTTGATTGGTTAATAACCACCCATTAGGTATATATATATATATCTCATCTTTTTTAAAAGGAAGCAGAAGTAATACTGTAAAAATCTGTGCATATTTTATACTCTTACCCTTCATCTTTGTCAGATTTTGACCCCTCCTCTTTGTCGGATTTTGTCCCTTCTTCTAGATTCTGATCTGCTACAATGCTGATGTGTTTGCTTGCAACAAAATTCTGCATCCAAGCGGGCATTTCTCCTGGTTTTGTTTTCTCTTTTTGCTTTTTCTTTTTTAAATCTGACGGTAGTTCTGGTTTTTCTACTGTTAGTGTGTCTGTAGCAAAACATAAAGTTTTGTTGGTTATTTGAAATCATATTACAATACAACACTTTTATACCATTTTTGCCATAAATATTATCAATTATTACTCCATTACTTTCATCAAAATACATATCATCTAAATTAACAACTCCATCACAATCATTAATTTTATCATCAAAATCATCATAATCGTGTCGTCCCTTTAATCGTTGTAATCATCATTCATCAACACCTTAATCTTAATTATTTTCATCATTATCATTATCTTCTGCATTATCATCATCATCAGTTTATCATGATCACCATCAACAACCAAAATGATCCCATCAAACCCCCAAAACACCAACAGTACAGTACAGTAGTTATAAACATTCAAACACTAGCTTTATTGTTAATATACAAAATTAATAATGTTAAATCCATTCATTTATTTTATATCATCGAAAATTTTGAGTGCCAACAACATTACAATGATGGAAAATTTTTCAAATAGTTTAGAGTATAAGCAAGCATTAATGTAATACAGTAAATTGAGATAGTAGGGGAATGAGATTAGAATGATAACAACAACAAGAAAAGTAATAAATTAACATTAAAAACTCAGAAAAACAATTATCTTTATGCATTTCAGCATCATTGTTGTGAGTATTGTAAAAAAAATATACAAAAAATTTTGATACAATTATTTATTTTGATGAATATAATTATGCTAGCTATGGCTTCTGGTGAACAGCCAGAGAAAGGCAGAGATATGAGAGGATGATGAAGCTGTGGATCAGAGACTGACCATTAGTAAAGAAAGAGTGCATTCCATATTTAGAAATCAGCAATGACAAAAAAGGGGCCAAACATCCCCCTAAGTACAACACAGTTAAATGTACAACATATGCAACAAATTCATTCAATAATTAGGCTTAACCAACAATGTTACAAAGAACAAATTTTACATCAAACCATACACAAGTTCACCAACGAAAGCCTATAAATAACATAATCCCGTAATCTCCAACGCGTCCACATGCATGCATTAGTGTTCACTATCAAAATTTGCTGCCAGTTTTTGTGATTAGTTTTTTGGTATGGAACCAGCCGGCACTTGTCAACTTACCAATATGATTTATAAGAGCATCAGCACATCTGATGTCATCTACATCATAGATGAAACAAAGATTACAAACTGATATATATATTATATACTGTATTCTACTATGCACTACTATTACTATTACTATTTCTACTATGTATTATATTATGAATTAATTTACTGAAGAACCTTACAAATATTCCACAGAATCATTTTTTTCCCTTTTTTGTTTAGTTTTTAGTTTAGTGGTTAGGGCTCCAGCCTTAAAATTCACAATCCTGGGTTCACTCCAGATGTCAAAATTTCAATCATAGAACAATTACACTCCCTATGAAGATTCATCTTCGTATTCCTCTGTCAAAAGTTTACTGAAGAACCTTACAAATATACGACCGAATAATTTTACCCTTTTTTTGTTTGTTTAATGGTTGGGGTGCCAGCCTTACGAAATCACAATCCTGGGTTCACTCCACACAAATGCCAAAATTTTAATCACAGAACAATTCCACTTCCTAAGTCTTATAAAGGAAATTACATCATATAGTTCATTTTCAAGTTTACTTTTATAATGACCTGTTTTGTCAGTGGATTCATCTTCGTCTTCCTCTGCCAAATCCATTGTCGGTGCCCTCTCAAAGTTAATCTATTAAGACAAAGAATTAGTACACAAATCAAACATGCATTAACATTTGAAAGGTAAAGACAAATTCTGATTTTTTAAATATACATTTTTTCACAATCATTAAAACTTTAATAACAACAATTACCCTCAAAATTAACATATGGTTGTATAAATACATGTAACATAAAATTATCAAATTAGGTTTGCTGCATAGCACCATAAACAAAATATAAACAAATAGATAACAATAACTCTTCTAACAATAATTATGTAGATTTATAATACATAATTATGTGATTTATCTGCAACATATCATGCATAACAAAGAACAATTAAAATTGTAATTTTGGAGATAATGCCATAATTTTGACAACTATGAACACCAAGACACAACAGCAAGAAGACTTTAATATGAAAAATAATACCAGTACCATATATTCTCGCATATAAGACAAGGCTTAAAATACCAAATTACGATAAAAAAAAATAAAAAAAATAACTGGGGGTCGTCTTGTACATAATATATAATTTTTTTTTATATTATTAAAATTATGTTCGTATTAGGTGCGGATCGTCCGTTGCATGCAAATTTACTACTGAAATGAAGCTACAACTGTTAGAATGGTCACCATGTACGTTGACGAACCAGAAATGCTATACAAGATTGCTGTTGTTTAAAGTTTTAAATGAAGGCTTTTCAAATGCTGATACAGTACAATGAAATCAATAAACTGTACGAAGCCTAGACTTTGGACTCACATTGTGATTTGAAGGCTAAATGCATGCTTGGTCCCAGTGGATTGTATCGACAAGACGGTGAAATAGGGAGATATGTTAGACATACAAAAATCATCTAAAGATCTTCTCGAACTCGGGAAGGTGGGCAGCGTCTTATAAGCAGACTGCCTTATATGCAAGGATATATGGTATACCTTTAAATACAACACCTAACATTACATAGGAAAGTTCAATAGACACAGAGGAAAGGTATTGTACTTTGCATAATCTATTACAAGTCACAAAATTAAGGGAATGAGAAGGGATGTGATCAGAAAGTGAAAGAAGAAATTTAAATGGGAAATGGGAGGAGAGTGTGAAAGTGGAGAAAAAGAGAGAAGGGAGGTAGTTGTAAAGTAGGGAATTGTAAAGTAGGAAAGATGAGAAGGAAATAAGAAAATAGGGAAGCTGGTTAGAATGTAAGAGTAGTGGAATGGAAAAGGTGGTTGAAGAAATAAAAGTACAAGAGAGAACAGGCGTTAAGAAAAATGTAAGAGGAGAATGAAAGGTAAAAGTGGTGAAAAAAAAGGAAAATGGAAAAAAAAAATTAGGATGGGCCATAAGAGAGTGCAAGGATAGGAATGGCAAAGGTCTGTAATAATAGAACAAAACCATTGTTTCTCCAACTACAGTCTGTCTTTTTATCCTTTATCCCATGAGAAAAAAATCCTCATTTAATGTCATATGAAAACCATCAGTTTTCTAGGTTAAAATATGTGCATTTGTTAAAAAAATATCAACCATTCATTCGTTACATGACAAATGTCATTAAGACAACAATCATCATGATTATTGTCATTCTAAAGTTAATGTCATTTCTGACATTTTCTGTCTGGCTCTTAAAACTGTCCCTAGACATCTCATGGATTATCCTGGTAGGTAGTGAAATGAGGCTAATATATATCAAATAATAATAATAACAGTTCAATCTTGATTGAACGCATATGGCTAAATGCTCCAATGCGATTTACCTTAGAAAAAAAACCCCCAGAACTTAAGTAAAATATACATTAAAATGTTTGAATATGTTGATGTTACAGTAGGTGCTTGTTGAATTTAGGTTGGTAAGTCATTAAAAGGGGTAACAGAAGACCCAAACTAATTTCCCAAAAACTGAGTTGAAAGGCAGACAGACTGTGTTAAAAGAAACTCGGAGGAGGATCTCAAGCAGTGGTGGTGCCAGAGTCTGAAATCTGGGGGGGGGGCAAATGAAGGGGCAAGGTAAAATTTTTTATTGGGAAATATTTTTTCCTATAGCAGAACGGAGATACACACATTAACAGGTAAATCTTCTATCGATGTGCTTATTTTTTTTATTTAAATGCTCAGTAAATTTATTACACATGCAAGAAGAGTATTAAATGCATTGTTTTTAAGCAGCCAGTTGCCTTAAAATGACAGATGGGAGCAACTGATTTTGTTGGCTAATCTTACAATATTAATTTTGTTGGCAAAAGTAGGGGGCCAAAGAAAATTTTCAGGCGGGTGGGTGGGGGAGGTAGATTCCCTAGCGCCGCAATTAATCTCAAGATCCTTTAAGGTGTTGTGTGCAAAGCTTGTAAGTTAAAAAAAAGTATCTTAAATTTGAATCTTTGCACAACAAGAAGCCAATGCAACTGCTTCAACACGGGTAATGTGGTATTGACTAGGGGCTTGGTGGACTAGATGGGCGGCGGTGTTCTGCACATATTGAATCTTATATACAAGGCTTGCCATCCTAAAAACAGCGTACTTTTGCTAATTGTAGAAGCTGTAATACTTTTGTACTCAACTGGAAATAGTAAGCTTATAATGTGAAGAATAAGAATATATTATAAAGTCAAGTTTCATTTTTTGGTCACTGATGTTGGTTTTGGGATGGCATGCTTCATGTGTCCTTTGCTGGTAAGCCAAACAGAAGAGAAGTACAACAGTCAGCCTCGTAGAAACAAATGCATGGACCAGAATTTCGGTTGACTTTGAATCCAGATATTTTCGAATACTTCCAATGCGTCTAATTGATTGAAGCCCAGCTTTGCAGATGTTTTGTATTTGATTAGACATTACAAGTGTAGAATCCATTGCAACCCCAAAATTTCTGCATGTTGGTGAAGGTTTCATGAATGAGTCGTCAATCTTTATCTAAGGGGTCCAGTTGGCAGATTTAAAGCGTGAAGAAAAATGTATGAGCTCTGTTTCGGCAACATTCATCACAAGCTTGTTGGACTTAACCACAATCTAACTTCAGCAACACACAATTCAACTTTTTTGATAGCAGACTCATGTTGATCTAGGGTAGGCATAAATGATTTAATTTTTATTTCTCTCTTTTGAAATTACATTTATTTATTTTATGAATGCAAAGGCATTGTTGACCCAACATTCAACTCACCAAAGAGCATAGTAAAGTTACAATTACAATAACAAAAAAGAATAATCTAGCAGACATATTATTAGAGTACCGAAAGTGTAAAACACTATTAAAGTGGTTCTTCAGTACTGTAAAACTGCCCTAATAAATAACAATAAAAACTTATATAAAATCATTTGGTTAAAATATAACAAGATCAGATATAATTCTAAAAAGGCAGAAGCTAAAATATAAAATTAATATCAGACACATGGTATCATTAATACTCAAATTCTATTAATTTTTAAAAATAATTAGCATCGCTTAAGCACTGATCATTTTACAATCCATATTTTATATAAGTAGTTCAGTTAAATTCCACCCATCACTCAAAATGGAAAGAAAATATTTCAGGTATTTTAAGTGGTGGTTAATACATGTCACTGGATTTCAAATTAATTAAAACGTGTTGGTTAATTGCTACCAAGGTGCTCCATTCGCTGAATATCAACACATAAATATTTAAACTATGCAGAGTAACTGATTAGTCGTCATTGTATATTTTCTTGATTTGTAACCAAATGCCACATGTCAAATTGTCACATCAATCATAGCCACTTAGGTGAGCAATATTTGTACCTGAAGTAGCAACAACAATATTAAAATACTGTTAATAATAATAATATTAATGATATAAATATTTATACTAATACTTATACTACTATCACAAACAATACACTGCAATTAAAACAATAATAACAGCAGCAAAACCAATAGAAATTAATGCAACAAAAATAAACATAATAATGTAGATTTTAACTAGATAGACAAAATACTGTACTACACATATACTGCATAGCAATAATCAATTAAGCATGAGGGCCCAGGACGTGTACATTTTCAAAATATATGGGGAGAGTAAGACAATGACATGAACATGAAAGGAGGGTGGGGGAGGAACTGGCGCAGGTTGTAGTCATCATACCTTATCAGACAACAGGGATATATCCTTGCATAATGGAAGCAATGAAAGATAATATTAATATAAACATAATATACTGATGTACAGTATTTAAAATATTTATAGGCCTATGAATAATAATATAAGTGAACTGTGATGTAATCATTTCACAAAGTCTGTAATCTCCTATTGTATATTATTATAAGTGAATTTAGATTGTACTATTTACTATGTTGATATTACACCTAAAGAATCTCAAAATCATTATAGCTGTAAATTATACTTTTATACGCTATTTATAAGTTCCTAATTTCAACTTCTACCATGCAATTGGCCGTGATATAACTAATGGCATCCGCTATGGAACTGCTACAATATCATGTCTAAATTATTAGCAGAAATTTTAATAATACTATTCTCCTTTTTCTATTTATGCTTTTTATAGGAATTTAATTCAGAAACAAAGTCAATCAATCAACCAATACACAACATTTATAATGCATTTTACAAGATACAATATTGAATGAATTTAGTGAACAATATACTTACAACTGGAGGTTTAAATTTTGGTTTATTCTGTATTTCTGAAATACTTCGTCTAACCGGGGGTGGCTCTTCTTCCTCTACTATGCTGTCCACACTGTTAGAATTGATTTAAGCATTTAGCATTTTTAGATCTCTATTTCAATTTTTTTTTTAAATATTTTTATATTTCTAAACACTATGTAATATACTCAAATATATTAAAATTCAGGAGAATTCCTTCACATTTAATTTATCTCTTTTACAATGACAATACTTACATCATTGACGGTGGTTTCCTAATAGGTAAAGTCTGGAAAAAGTACAAACACTTTATTGAAGATAAGGAAATACTACACTTTACATATATTCATTTGGTATTACTGTATGTCTCCATGTAAAAATGTATTACAATGACATAAAATACAAGTCTGTAATTAATAAATGAAATAACAATCAAGCATGACATTAAAGTAAATAAAATCAGATTTCTTTTAGAGACTAATAAAGTAAACATGATTTCAATTCAATACATCAAGCTATTTTCTGAAACAATGATATGACAAGCATTTTAGAAAACATTTATACTCGAATACTACTATTGATGACAAATTCTGATTTAAAATTAAAGGGTTTCTTAATGTCCAATAAAGCTATATTGATCGAATTAAATTGTCTGTAAAGTTACTTACATTACTTGCACCACTAAGTGACCCAGACCTAAATATCTTGTTTAGTTCCTTCAGCTAACACATCAAAAGAAAATATTTATAAAATAGTTAAAATCTGATTGGTTAAATAATAATACGAATTTCAATAACAATAAAAAAAAATTTATAAAAAATTATAAATCGATAGTGACATCATCATTTTAGTCCAATGTTAATTTCCTATCCTGAAACATAAGATATTGTAGGAAAAACACCATAGTGGTAACCCCTACTCTTCCAAAATGGTTCTACTAATGGAAAACCCTGATCAAGGAGCAGCTTGGACCAGTGCTGATGTTAAGGCTGTAGTTAAGGGTGCCCCTGCCTTTCCGCAAAGATGATTGACTTGTCTACTTAACTTGCCTACTTGACTCGCCTACTCCGCATTCATTCCTTTTTGCTATTGAACGGCTTTTGCACGCAACCAATTTCTTGTCTATACTACCTATTATCAATCTTTAATTTTTATGCCTATAAATCTGTTTATTACCTCTTCTGGATTCATAACTGTTATGTCACCAAGAATCTCTCGTCTCCAATCACCTTTATTCTTGACCCTTAATTTTGGAACCGCATTCATCGCTGACCTCATTTCACTGAATCCTACAGTATGGTTGGTGTGTGGTGTAGTATAACGATGGGCCAGTGGATTCTGTGATCGTTGCACCCCATTATTGGCTGGAGTTGCAGAAGTCTATTTATAAAAAAGCAATTTTAATATTTATTTTATAAATAAGTTAACATGTAAATCATCCTTACACTAATGTATTCCTTCAAAAATAATTCAAATATGTAAATATGATTAAATACGGCAGCCAGATTAAACAGCACCCTCAACATTAATTTTGAAATGAACACCTGTTTTAAAGGCACCAACAAAATCTTACTGGATTTGTTGTCGGAACGGTGGACCGGCAAACAGGATCTCCAGTCCAAGCAGTAGTGGGTGGGCTAGGCAGTCGTTTCTCATCCACCTTAATTTCATGTTTCGATTGCTCTACTGGCTTTCTTTTCACTTCTCGGACGTGGGATGCCGGGAACCATCCTTTACGCCCTCGGATTTTACCCTCCCACCAATCATCTTGCTGCAAGCATGAAAAAAATTTACTTGTGTATATGAGATACAACACTGGAATAGGGAATCATTACATATTTTGTAAGAAAAATAAGGAATATTCTGAGAAAAAAGGAATATTCTGACAATGTTAATAAAGATTTAACTCAATACAATTATGAAACCAATAATAATAATATATATTACAAATTAAAAACTTAAAAAATTAACCGCTTGACCATTTGGCTCGCACGTAAGTGGTAAAATATAATATATCAATAAAAATCTACAGTATACATATATAAACACATAAATACATACCTTCTGTATTATTTGAACTTCATCCCCAACAATTAAATCAAGCTCCTGATCCTTAGTTCCACGATATGCCGTCACAACCTCAATCTTGGTTTTTGGATTATTTATGTTTAATTTCTTCTTTTTTTTCTTTGCTCTCTTCCTTTTTAATATCTGCTCTCTCCTTTCTTTTGGTGTCAGGTGTTTCAGATCCGAAATGTTATCTTTATCCTGCAATAAAAAATCATGATAAGTAAAAATCACTAATTTAATAAAAGGCATAACATCTTCTTCACTAAAATTACTTTTCATGAAGATATTAAAGTAATACTCACATCGTCCTCGTCCACGTCTTCATCTTCAATTGATACAGGACTTAAGTCCGAAGGTATCAACAACGGCGACATGCCTGGATTTTGATGTACAATGCTCTATGATGTAGAAACACAAATATTAACATATTAGTATGAGCATAACAATTAAAAAATGTTTAGAAAAAAAAATGCTTTCACATCCATCAACAAATATACGTGCCAATTAAAAAGTTGAAAATATAATTATGTAACTGTATAATTACATTGGATTAGGATTGGGGACACTGCTAGTGGCACCAAAGGTGGATTGTCGGATATCCCTTACGTCATTGGACAAAAGAAAAAAATGAGCGAGTTTCTTAAAATTATGGTCTAAATAACATAAAATCTCTTCATACGAGGAAATTTTACCTTCTCCCTTGACTCTACCACAACTTTTATCGACGATTTACTAGAGGCCTTAGGCAGAATTTTTTTCAACCTTGTTAAATCCCCTTTTGGCAAATTTCTGGAGCCATCACTGCCTATGGAGTGGAGCCATTCTTTGTGTTGTGAAAAAAAAAACTTGGATTTGAACCCAGAACCATGGAAAGTCAAGCATCCTTACCCCAAATTTCAACTACATTACAATTTATTTTATAGACAGAAGGCTGACTATAAAAAATATCAGAATTTGAAACTGTGAGGGCAGCATTCAGTCAAAGGGATTTGGAAATCAACAATTTAATGCCATGCAGAATAATGGATAACTGATATTTACAGATTTACATATTGGCATACAATTTGCATGTTATGATGTGCAATGATAATAACTGAAGTTAATGCATACAATTTGTATATTTATTTGCAGATCTAATGTCTAATATATCATGATACTAAGTGACATACATGCAGTGGATGGTTGATGCAGCTACCACACAACATACCCCAAAAAAGTACACAAAATTTACAGGCCTTTTCTCCTTCACTTCATGAAGTGACACAAACCCATAAAGGTGCTTACAACACAATAAAAACAGAATTTAATTCAATCAAGGAAAGTTTAGGAGTTTGGCCTGAAAAGTCTCTTGATGGTGACAATGACCAAATAATTATGGTAGGCCAAAGACACTTTGTGTAGCCCAAGCCTAACAGACCCAATATCTCACAAACCTAAAGTCACTTTTTTTGGCATCCTAAATACTTGTATATGATATACCTGTGCCTAATAAAAAGTGGCTGGCTGTTTCAGCCTGATTTCAAAATGATAGAGAGGGAAAGTACCACACCAATATTCTGTGAAGGGTATAGTGATATGCAGGTTTGAAAATTAAATGTCTTCTCATATACCATGAATGGGTAACTTAGGAGGGGAATATACAGTATAATAATATCTAAAACTGATATGGCGCCAATTCAAAAAAATATCGAAGGTGCAACACATGTGAATAGCCATTGGAAAGTCTTAAGCTGAGACTTTAATTAAGTTGCAAAAGAGAATTTATGTTATTTTGAATTGGTTCCAAAAAAGGGCAGAAGTATAAATCAAAGGACAATGACTGTAGGTTTTGGTTCGGTACTTGGTGACAGAAAGTTTTGAGAGGATGAGCGGAGATGGCGTACTGTATATTGGGAAAGCAATGAATGCAAATATGATGGTTTACTCAGATCATAGAGAAAATAGAACAGATGGAGAGCTTTAAAAGCTAAGAACAAGAAATTTAATAACACGTTTCCTGATTGGCAGCCAATAAAGTTCATGCAATAAAGGAGTGAAATGATCCTACTTTCAAGCACCGGTACATATACGGGCAGCTGTGTTTTGGATGAGCTGAAAGCGCTTAAGCAATTCCTGCAGAACGCTAAAGCCGGACCATCACTGCGTTGTACAATCGTCAGCCGATTAATCCAACTCAGCTCCCTATGAGTCTGAACGTATCATCATTAAAAACAATCCGCTGCGTGCACGTCGTGGTGTTGCGTTCTTCAAAAAAATCGCATCAGCCGAAGACCGTTGGATGCATTAAGTGCCCGGTTGAACAAATAGGGAATCGCAAAAGTTAAGCTGAGATGATATGAGCAAATAAACAAGTATTTCAGCAGATTTGGTGTTAAGAAACTCCCTGATTTTGCCAATGTTACAAACATAGTTATTTGCAGACTTGTGTAATAGGGCTAACATGTTTCTCAAAAGTATGGTGTCGGTCAAAAATAACACCAAGGTTTCCTGATGTAGAAGGCTCAAGGACTGTTGTCCCAAGGGTAATAGGTGGAAAAGTGGGCTTTGGGAGAAGAAATCTGGAATAGAAAACTACTGTATGTATTCAGTTTCGTTTTCATTTAGTTAGTTTGTTCTGAAATATCCATTGTTTGATTTCAAAAACTGTCTGCTCAAATTTATTTATAGGAATTTGTGATTCAAAATTAGGATCGAAAGGAACATACAGCTAAATATCATCAGCATACAGGTGCAATTTAACTCCGTTTTTACGAATTATCTTGGCAACCGAATAAATGTAAAGAGTAAAAAGTAATGGTCCTAAGACCGAGCCTTGATAAACTATATAAGGCAATAATTTGGTCAGTGACATAGTATCATGAATGGGAACAGACTGAGACCATGAAGAAAGACAGGAATAAAACCAAAGAAGAACATTGCCCATAAAACCAAACTGATGAGACAGCCTTTCAAGAAGAATATAATGATGATTAACCATGTCAGATGAGGCGGAAAGACCGAGAAGGAAAAGTGCGACAGCCAAGCTGTTGAGAACTGGAGTGAGAGGGTTAAGTAGGAATACTGGGTTTAATCAGACTACTAACAATGTTGAACAATTCACTGATCACCATGGCAGTCATCAAATCTAGATGCAAATGAAAATGACTTGGTAGTTGAATATTTATCCATACATGCTATGAAAAGGAATTTAATGTTTGATACCATAATGGTATTGTATGGATTTTGTTCAAAATGTCCATGATGTTCGCTATATCTATGATGACCTTTGACATTCTTTTACTTACGACTCTACTTGGTCTCCTCATACGAGGGCTATTAGTTGGTCTAATATTACGTTCCTTCTCCTCTTCCACCTGATAAACGCACAATAATTATGGTCCAACAAATAATCTAGAAAATTATATTCTAATTTTCCCACACAATGAAAAATATATTTCAAAAAGCTGGTCATATGGGATGAATATTCTCATATAATATAACAAGATTTATTATCAAACTCTTTAAAAAAAAAAAACCATAAAAATTGAACCTGTTGTGCTGAGACAGATTAAAAACTATATCCAATAGAATGGCTACGAGTACCATTTTATTTTAGTGAAAACAGTTTCTTCCCTGGTATACATTAACTGGCATGCATGCCAATGTATTCATTCAGCAATAATTATAAATACTCCCCCAGCAATGCCAAGTATATGTTCCATAGCTGTTTTATCCAATGATGGTTAAGCGAGACTTTTTTTTATACCTTGTTTCGCAAACTCATTTCTTTAAAGATCGTCAGAGGGAGGAAAAAAAGTAATAATAAAATTTGGTTCTTCATTTAGCAAATAGTTTTGCCAAAAACGTCCAGACGGAGAAAATAAAAATAAAATTTTATTGGCGAATGTAGACAGTGTATTAATGGGGTGGTTAAATGCTTTAAATTTATATAATCAGGATGACATATACATATCTTATTTTTGGAGATTTCAAGGCAGCAGCAGCATTATGAAAAATGAAGGAAATAAATGAATTGCTCATATATGACAATTGCTCATATATGAAGCATTTGGTATGACATCATCAGATCCATATATGAAAAAAATCATATACTTGTCACAGAAAACTTGATACTGAGGACAGAGCATTAAACTGTCATACTATCTATGCAAAGTAAAGAAAACAATATCAGTAACTTTAAAAAAAATGATTTAACCAAATACACTGAAAAATTAGATTGCACTCTATTCTCTGATATTTTAAGTTGTGTATTTCATTCTTACATTTCCAGGGAACACAGCTGAACTATCATTTAAATATGATAGAAATAGAATACAAAGATGGACTCACCCGAGAACTTTCAAATATGTTGTTGAGAAACGTCTTAGCTGAATTGAGGGCGCTCTGAAATCAAAATTTGCTTATTGTCTCATAAAACATAGAAAATACATGTTTTATTTGGGTAAATTGACGTAAATATGTTGGGTAACTCGGCACAAAATGTGTCATTAAGAAATTTATAGGTATTCAAATAGTGATACAGACTGCAGTTATTTAAGTTCCAATATGAAAATATAGCATTCAGATGGTTTGTAATTTTGAAATTCACAATGGTAATTTAGAGGCTAGACCATTGGAACTGCATATAGTTTTTGTGCAATAATATATTTATGCAGTTTCAACTCTGAGTAAAGATTTTTTTGCATAGTTTCAAAACTGTGCAAATTTGACAAACTGCATATAATAGATATACTATAAATTTTTAAAAAAATAATGGAAGTCAATTAAATTTGACATTTTTTTTTTGTTGATATTTTGATATTTGATATTTTATTTAATAATTGTATCACTGAAACTATAATCATCCCAATAACGGCTCTAATCACTGTCATCGTCCCCACCACTTAAACTGTCCTGTCATCATCATCATCATATCATCATCAACATCATCATCATCGCCATTACCACCATCTACATCACACATCATATCATCATTATAATCAACATTATTATCACCATTATCATCCTCTTTACCATCACTACCATAACATCATCATCACTATCTTCACAATTATTATGAGCATCATTACGATGATCAGCATCACCATCACTATCATTGTTACCTTATCCTGCTCTCCAGATTCATACGCATTACTTTTGTTCTCAGCTGCCTCTAATTCCTTCTCCGTTCCTAACTTATTAAATGCTTCAATTGCTATGGCAACAAACAAGCTATTAATGATAGAAAAAAAAGGCAAAAAACACAAATCAGGTTCTGTGATAAAAAAATATTTTTTTTAAATGCACTTACAGCAACGAGTACACTCCAGCTGAAAATCACTGGAAAGCAATAGCTATTAAACTGACAATTGGGAGATTTCTTATGAAATTTTGCTCAAACTACAACTAAAGATCATGTGCGTATAGATAAGGATTATGTGCGCATAGATATGGTCAAATGCAGACAATTTCAGATTTGGAGCTTCATGCTTCCAGGCCAGAGTGCCCATCTCTCACTTGGTGATTGGGCCAAACTACAGTATAAGCATTACTGTGGATTGTTTGTCATTTCCCTCCCAGAAAAAGTCTACTTACCTTACAGAGGTAAGTATTGGTACGAATTATAAGTGTTGGATACTTACTTCATGACAACTAAGTTGATGACAATGTAGCAAGTCACAAAGTAAATACAGGTAAAATCAGAAGTGGACTTCATAACCTAACAAACACACGAAAAAGATTAACAGCAATATTTAAAAAAAACAAAACAAACAAACAAAAAACGATACAATTAAAACTATAAAAAAAGTTTGAGATGAAGATGATGATTGTATAATCATCTTGAATTTTATTCTTAAATATTTTTAAAATTAGTTTAATACTTCATTTATCTTTAAGCCCTATCCAGACTATCAATTTTCACTTGACAAACACATGTGGTATGCCTAAATATGGCATATCATGGCTAAATATGGGCATATCATGGCTAAATATGGCATATCATGCCTATATATGGCATATCATGGCTATATATTGGCATATTAGAGTTTTTTATCAAAGAAAATGTGCTAGCCTGGACAACTTTAGAAAGACCACTTACAGAGTTCATAATCTCATGCCAGTTACTTGTCGTCACAATTTGGAAGATAACAAGCAAAGCACACCTGAATAAAAACAAACCAAAATAAATAGAAATTATAATACTTCAATGCTTTAAGAATCTAGGAGAAAATACCACTATCCTACGCCTATCCCTAACATTCTTTCTCTTACACCTGAATAAAAACCAAAAATAAAATAAATAGAAGTTATAATACAGTAGAACCCCTCCTTTGGGACACCCCTATTCAGGGGACACCCCTATTAAGGGGACACTTTTCCGTGAAACGAGGGGCGTTATGTCTTTTAACACTATGGCCAACCCCTATTAAGGGGACACTCCTATTAAGGGGACAGGGACACTTTCTGAGTGTGCCAAATGGTCAAACAACCCCTATTAAGGGGACACTTTAATTTTTTTCTATTGTATCACAACAAATACAACAGTCTCAAAATAAGAAAAATTCACTCAACTTTATATAGTGACACATTTTGAGCAACTTATAAGGAACATACATTTTCTAACTATTATTATCACCTTTCTACTGCTGTTTGTCAAGGGCGAGCTTTTGTTAGACTACATAATAATAATAATAATAATAATAATAATAATAATAATAATAATATTTGTAATATTTTAACTGAAATTGAAATACAAAAAGAATTTTGAATCAAGCAAAATAATCTGTCTTTATTTGGTAGTAGTTTGGTGTGTTTAAATATTTTCATGGGTTGTTGTTTTGCTTGTATCTGTTAAAGTGGTGTTCTGTTCTCACCTCTTATTGATTTGATTGAATTTTGTATTTTGAGAATTTATCCAATTTTGTTGTGGCTTCTATTTTTATTGTTCTGGTATATGTATGAATATAATGTATTGTCTATTTTAATGAAATTGTTCTATTGTTTTAAAGTTCTTCTAGGCCTACTACTTTACTTATCTGTTCTGGAGGTTTTTTTGAATTAACTGAAATTGAAAATAATTGAAAATGAAAATTTGAATTTTGAAATTTGAGTAATAAACCAGAATTTTCTCCCCAAATCTTTATATTGAATATTGGAGTAACATTTGCCTACTGCATGTGTTAGTTTGTATAAACCAATCTTGTCACTTTTGACCCTTAAACCATGGGGATTTCTTTTTCTTGCACTTTCATAGGATTCTACTTTATTCATTAACATTGCATCATGAAACAATATTGGGAACATATAAAAGTATTGTTTTAGTTACATTTCTGCTTATTTCATATTATAATGGAATTGTATTTGCATTGCAAATTATTGCTATAAATTAGTTCTAATTCTACTGTAACAAATTATGTCAATAAAAATAAAATTATTAAGAATTATATGTCATCATTATATGAAAACATGCCAAAAACCCCTATTAAGGGGACACTTTTTTTGGTCCCAAAGGTGTCCCCTTAATTGGGGTTCTACTGTACTTTAAGATTATAGAATGTATAATTTGATCCCCTAATGCTGGGATCTGGGAGGAAAAAAACCCCATCCCTCCATCTCCAAAAATCTTTTTCCTACACTGGTTACCTGCTATAAAATAACATTCCATGAAGCAATCCCATTGTAACACTCTTTCATACTACCTTACACTTGCTACCCACACTAATTTAACTATAGCTCCCTCACCTCTAACATCCCACCCCTGCAGCCACGATACTCCTGATACTCATAACCACATCCTTACAACACACTCCTTGCTACTACCCACACCTTCATCAGAGGGTTATACATCATTTAGTGAGTTAATAATTATACTTGGAGAGTTATAAAAAAAAAAAAACCCTATTTATTTTTTAAAATTTATTTTATTTCTATGCTTATTTAACGAGGGTGACCCTTCCAGGTCAAAAGCAAGCCAGTGAGCTGATCAGTGGCCCTTGACATAATACAGTCATTCAAATAGAATTTTCCTAAGTAAAATTTGAAATATTTACTAATGTACAGAAGACAATTATTATAGAAAATTCAGTAAGTAGAAAAATTTAGAAGAACAATCAGAATATATTTCAAAAGACAAAGGGTCAGATATGTTCATCTCACTTTGTCAACAACCATAAAAAAGGCCCAATACTGAAGTCTATCCACAACATGTAATTAATAAATGGCACGAATCAGGTGAATGTGACAACTGGCATCATTTGTTGACAATATGCTAGTAAGTGTACAACTGAATGTAGCCTACAAATTTTGCAATACAAGATAATTCACCAAATTTTAGGAACAAACAAATTACTACACAAGGTAGATCTTAGCGATAATGATCAATGTACTTTTTGTAAAAAATCAGTAGAAACTATAGAATATCTCTTTTATAAATGCCCATGTGTAAAAGAGATATGGACTTACGTAAGTCAACATATTGATAGGTTTGTATCGCCTACCAAACTAAATAAACAAATTATACTGTTAGGAATAAGTAAATCAAATAGCGAAGCTTTTAACCATATTTTGTTACTTATGAAACAATTTATCTATGCAAAAATGTTGTTAAATAAAAAACCTGATTGTCAGGGACTTAAAATGTTTCTAAGATCAAAAATATCAATAGAGAAATGTATAACAGAAAAAGAAAAATTTATTAAGCAATGGAGTTTTTTCACTTCATTATTAAAGGAAATTAATATTGTATAATTTAATATTTATCTGCCCATCACCACAATCATATTTTTTTTTCTTTAACTGTTGTTCTCTTTTTGAATTTACAATGATGTACTCTTGTTTGTTTTTTTTTTGGTTTTTTTTTCTGTAACCAATAAAAGAAATGAATAAAAAAAAAAAGGCCCAATATTAGCTCACTGACAGGTGTTCTAATCAATAAACCATAGCAACTTACGAAAACGTGTCAAAGCCAAGTCCACAGCAGTAGTCATAATGACTTGATGAGTATAATGGGTTTCTCGTTCTACCACTGAACGATTCAAATCCAATTATTGCATAGAAATAGCTGCCAAATGAAATATTAACAATTAGTATATGTAGCATTAATTACAAATTTCTTATGTATTTTTTATGTACGTTTGCATTTCTCGTAAAATATAGCGAAGATCGTTACTGCTGTAGGCAAATCGATGCATTAAATGCTTACATGTAAACAGTGCTAAGAATCTATATAAATGAAAACAATAGATTTTTGTAGTCAATACCATTCAAATCTTTTGTATATCTAATTCTCTTAGCAACAACCGAAAACATCATCAAATTCTTACCATAAAAGAAATACTTATGCTATTTTTTATGTTACATTTCACATTGATAAAGTTAAAGAAAACTTACATGATTATGAAGACTAGAACAATGAGGTCAAACATGACAGGAAAAATCCGAGTTGTAAACAATGTAATTAGTTTCTTGGTCTAAATATAAATACAGAAAACAGAAAAATTAAAAAATCTTAATAATAATTAAAGCATGAACACAAATTATAATATAAAAAAATAAATAAATAACACTACAATAAACATGTATAAATTGAAAACATGATTTCAATTATTCAAGATTAAATTTATTTAGTCCTTTCAGAAATTTGACCACAATTAACTATGAAAATGAAAATAATTATATAAAATATATGGTATATGAACTAGTAAAGTAGAAATAAAATAGTATAATATAATTATGAATAATTTATTTCATATAAAAAAACAAGTAATTCATACAATTGAAGTCAAATTCCTTCTCAGTTCTCAGGGTAAGAAGACAACACTTGGATTAGCTTTTTTAACACATCTAATTATATTTTGCTACATATGGTGATACCAATCACCAGCTGTTTTCAAGGAGGCAATTGATAATATAGTAGTAAAAACATTTATCATGAATTTGCAGGAGATGGGTTAGTATCATGGAATTTTTTGTTTGCTCCCGAGAGTGCGGGAGCCCGTCCCAATTTCAGAGAAACTTTTGTGAGTCAAGAGCTGATTTGATTCTATGACATGCTTGGTGCTGTTTGTGATTGCAGTGTTTTGATGTTGTTTGGTTCTTGATTTTATAAAGGCAAGGCGATTGTTAAAAGCGCCATATAAATAAAATAAAATAGCATGTATTCTATTAAAAATATTCTCTACCACACATACCTGATAGAGATTAAAGCCAAGTCTAAAAAACACTGCCAATCCAGAAACTACGGTGCATGCAGCGCGATTCTTATTCACGTCTTCCACCACGTACCAAACAATATTTGAAACAATCGCTACAATAATCAGAATTATGTCCAGAATCTCCAGTGGGTCAAGCAAATTTTTACTTTCTGCAAGAATCCTCAGGATTAATTCAATCTATGGAAACAAAAAATTCCATCAAAATGAAGTTTTGTTTTAGGATTCTAATACAGTGGACATTTCTGCTAAGCTCCGCCTCTGGGATATTATTGCTAGTCCCACAAAATGACAAGTGGTAAAACATACGCAAACAAGCACATTTGTAGGATGGACAACACATGTGCCTTGTCACACACGTCCGTATTTCTACCCCGGTTTTTTTTCTTGGTCAGTTGTAAAGTTTGATTGACACTTTGAAAATATCTATCGTACTCTGTATGGCATCATGGAAACTGCACTGACAGACGGTTTGTAAAGCTTACGACATGACAGCAACACGATACAGATGCGCGCAGTGTTGAAGAATACAAACTACGCGATGATATGTCATTGTCGTGTCGGTATTGTGTCTAGTGTAAATTTAGCTGTAGACTGATTTTTGTGAAAACACTAATGTATGCAACCCCCAGGTCCTAGGAGAATGGGAATGTACCAGCACGATTCCAAGATTATCCCGGCCACATCTTGAAGATTGGAATATGGTTTATCTAGATACAGTAGATATTTATGAAATATTTATACATTAAAACATCCCAGGAATACCATAGAGAGCAGTTGACTATACACACTAACTCCTAGAAGTAAAAACTTCTCACACAACCTTTTGGGTATTTGCTAGTCTATGTTTTGGGGCCAGAATAATGATCACTCATGAAAGCGAATATATTTATGTTGGACTAGGCATATAGGGCCAATATTAATTTAAAGAAATAAACATTTGTTGTCCATTTGTTGTTATTCTTTCCATACTTAAATACAAATTTAACAGGGGGTGTGGGCACCCTGCCCTACACCAACAACCACCCCCTCACTGAAAACAATTGTACTATATTTGGCTGGTGAATATGAACTTCTATTTAGAGACATAATTTAATTATTTTCTTTGCAAAAAAATTATTAAACGTTAACTAGCACCTCACATTAACTTTTGAAAGATAAAAATCGGCCAGGTATAACCCATATTACCGACTACGAAATTTAAGTTAGTAGAACATACTGTTATTACATATTTTAGTTTCCTCCCACCATTGTATTTAGGTACACGCTACAGTACACGATACAGTACACACAATGAGCCTACAACTTTGGATGATTCAGCCCACATCTTTATGTTTGAGTTAATGCATGAATGGTTTTATATACCTTCTCAGGACTTTTTTCCTAGCCCACATATTTATATCTAATTTTGCTGAGAGTTCCACTTGAACAATTTTGTGTAACTTTTGGTATATCAGTTTTTTTTTGGTTTTTTTGTTGTTTTTTTTGTTTTGTTTTTTTGTTGTTTTTTTTTTTTGCTTTAAGCTACTGGCACCTAGCTGTTGTAGTCTTGCTTGATTTTGTTTTGTCTGTTTCTGGAAAATTTGAATTGTTTTTTTTGTAAATTTTTGTTGCTGTTAAATTAACAGTCAAATTTATGCATCTTTTATTTAAATAGTAAATAATTGCTAGATAGGATGATTTATATAATAGAATGGTGGTGGTGGTGCTGCTATTCTTTATATTTAAAAACGGAAACCTCAAACCAGAAACATTTTTATTTTACGCAAAATTAAAATAAATAGGTCTAAGCCTGCTCTCGAAGTTTCATAGTTTATCTTCCATATTTCAGTGTGATTGGGATTCGAGCGTGAGAAATCGATAGTAATGCCTTACATATCCTTAAATACAATAAACTATTTAAATGTACTGTAACTGATTATTAAATATAAGATTCAGCTACATAACTTGGCATGCCTAATTGCCCCGCAAACACATAGGGCATGCATTGTTAATCATGCATCAAAATGTTAACCTGCAAACACATAGGGCATGCGTTGTTAATCATGCATAAAAAACACCTAATTACAACATAATACATTGTGAAATGAGGAGAAAATACTACTAAAAATTGGTTTATTACAATACGGTAAATGTTTAATTGATTTTTTTTTGTATCAGACGGTGTTACTAAAAGTTCAGTGATCTCAAATTGTGGCAAACACAAAACAGCAATTCCATTGTCGAAAAAAAAAAATTTGTTTACATATACATCTAATAAGGAGATTATTACAAATTCATTTGGAGATTATTATTGAACTTAAATGATCTCAATATATTGGGACAAACACAAAATGGCACAATCATTACATTATGAAAATTATGGCAGTTGGTTGTCACTAAAAACATTTTTTTATGTATATATAGCTATCTAATTAACTTCAAAACTGCTTCAAAACGGTGTAAAAAGCCTAAGCCTCATACTACTACATGAATGCGTTTCTATTCCATCGTACGTTTCTCTGGCTGATAAGTAAGGTCTTGCTTGAATGGCTATCAGCAGAGGGGTGTAGGGTATTATATTGAATAGCTGACCAAAACCATACCAAAAACAATGATTAATATCATATCTTCGTAAGTACTTGGCCAAATTTGACGGGAAAAGCATTTCAAACAGAACCATTGACTTTCAAAAATGGCCTATATGAGCATCTACCTTGTATTCTTGTATATTGCACAACTAAGATTCCAGTGCTAGTTTAACCAATATATGGATCCAATGACCAGAAGTAATAATAGAATTGTTCCCACAATCACATTTGGCAGAACTATTTATGTGCCAATTTTGATTTTGTTTTTATATATTTTTAGTTTTATAAAATCTATTTAAAGATGTATTGTCCAATGAAAATATCAAAAAAGTCATAAAAATCATTTTTGAAACTAACATGCCCATTTTGAAGTAACATAAACATTATCAACTTGATCACAGAAATTTGTGTATTTAAAAAATAATAATAATTTATGACCAGCTCCAGCAAGACACGCTGTTTGTCACAATTTCTAACTTCTCACAAGCACACAAAACATTTGAGAATCAGAATTTTGAACATTTTTAGGTTTTTTTTAATACTCAACCAATATACTTCAAATAAACAATTTTCAATTTTGAATTTTTCCTACAACGGCTGGTTTTGTCAGAGCTGGTCACATTTTACAAGCAAAAACTGATAGAAACTCTTGGAGTAATAATAATAATAATAATAATAATAATAATAATAATAATAAAGTTTTATTCATTCACAGAAACTCAATTCAGTCCTTTACAAAGATTGGTCTTCCAGGAGGCTGTCATTAAACTTCTACAGCAAACAAAAATTTAAAAGCAAAACAAAAAAAAACAAGAGAAATTACTAGTAAAATTTAAACAAAAAGAAAGCTATCTACTAGAAATTGCAAATTGCAAGTGAAGTGCTGCGAAGTACAACTGCATAAAATGTTCTTCAAGTGAAAATAATGAATAATAAAAATATAACAAATAATATGAGCACGACCCATTGTCTATATATTATTAGAACAGCGTTGGTACAATAGTGTTTTGCTGCAGTGACATCTCTCTGCTGGCGATGGCGAGACATGGGTCGATTAAACGTAGAAATAGGAAACCTAGAAATATAGTAAAAACACTGAATAGTACTCCAGCGTCGCGACATGCCGACGTTGGTACGAGTAGGTTAGTCTACAAACGTCGCCTAAAGTAATTGATTTTACGCGGCAGAACGAAAGAAGAAACTCCGCTTTTCAGTTGTCTCAGGCGATTGATTTTTGACAAACAATGACCTTTCAGAGGTCAAATTGCTGTCAAGAATATGAATTGGCTGCTTCGCAGCAATAACATATTGGAAAGGTTTGACACAATTTTTTTTAAACCTTTAGATCTTCAGCATTTTTTGCTTCATATACTAAGGAGTTCCAAACCTTTGTTCTTTGATAAGTAAAACTATTCTTCTGGAAGTGTTTTATTACGTATATTATAATTATCTGGCTTAAAAATCAGGGTACACATTTTCTACCTTCAATAATTAATATGCTCAAGTTAATATTTTTATTTTACTGCAAAATGAGGAAGTTAATTCTAAAATTATTTCCTATGATTTTTTGTCATTTTCAAGGGACAATCTTTAACAGAACCACAGATACTTACGAAAAAAATGCTGACGATGAATGATTTAATACTCTGAATAGTGAGGACAGCTACGTCACTTATTCCTTCCCAATAAATACAAAACAACAGGCTGTGTAAAAACATAAAACAAAATAAAAAAACCATTATAATACAGTAATTAATGTTTCTTCTAAATATTTATTCTCCTATCTTGACTACCAGCAAAGCATGTGTGATAAGTTCGCAGTACTCCTCTTCATTTTCTTCCCTTTCTGGAATTGATTACCAAACAATTCTTAAAAAGTAATAATTCTCTCAAATGTTACATTTACAATATAGTAATTTCATCAATATGATGTCCCTTAACATATAAGCATTACTTGTGCTTTGCCAATCATCAAGGTATTCTGATGCACTAAGCTGACTGAGTAAAGGGAGAGCATTGTCATTTGCATATCATAGAAATTTTTTTTTTCTCAGTATTGGGACAGTATTACATAAAAATATAACAAACTAAAACAACAAAAAAATATAAAGATATGCCTACACACGTTATTCTATTATCACTCTTGTACAAAACACTTAACTAGCTATAAGTGCCCGAACAGCTACTGGATTGAAACTGTTTCAGTACCTATTTGCACGAATAGTGATAGAGTGAAAATGTCTGTCACGGCATAACACCTAGATGAAACAATGCGAAGAATGAGTTATGTTTTGCAATAGAGTTTGTTTTCTTCCTTAACCTAAAAATGGATTCAAAGGTGTTCTACTTATTGCAGCTATTTGTAATGTACACCAAACAACATGCCTTTAATCGTTGACCTCATTAAACCATAAAAAAACTTTAAAAATTATATTCTCAGAGGGTTAGTTCCAATAGACTTCAGTCTATGCAAAAAATAAACTATCTCTTTGGAGGATGGGGTTGGAAAATCATGGTTCTATTTACATGGTCTACTTACCAGTGAATAAATATCAACACAAGAATAAATTTGGAGAAGATTGCAGAACGATCAATTTTCCGTGAAAATCTACCAATGGCCTGTAAACTTTTTGGTAAGCTGTCCTAAAAAGAATGAAAAATTGTGACTTTATAATAATTCCTTACATTTTGGTAAACCTTCCTAATAGAATAAACAATTCTAACTTTATCATAATTCCTTACAAAAAATTGCTTTTGAATCACTACAGTTAAATCTTCAAAAACATGTGGAGTCTAAAAATACTTACAATCCCATCAATCTTAGTTTCCTCAAACTCAAAGCTAAGAGCTTCCGAGAGTCGTACTGTCCATTCAAAAGAATCAATTTCACCATCACTATTTCTATCTAAATAACTTATTAACTGTAAGTTCATTTCTTCTGTATTCTAAAACAATAAAAAATAAATTATTAATAACAGCATAATTTAATTTTGTTATAATAAAAATATAATACAATATGATAATAATAATTAAAAAACCTAGATTTGGATCAGAATCTTAATATATTTATACTTGAGCATCCAAACAATAAATGAATTAGGTAGATCTGTACTAAAAACATGGAAATAAAGTACTGTAACTAACAAATGTGGAGACATAAAGTAAACATGAACTGATGTCATTTTAAGTGTTTCAAAAACACGGAAGATGAGTTAATCTCACGGATGACAGCTAATATTAGCTCCTTTGATAGTACAGCTGCAGCATTGCACTGGATCCATAAATTAATGAACTACTGCATATTATAAGTCCATCTTGACATCAATCCCAATGTTATTTTCCTAATCCCAAACCATACACTAATTTTCATTAGTGTACAGTTTTTCCAGTATGTGTGCAAAGGGTCAAAACAAGTTCTATATATCACCAAAATTATCGCGCACTACAACGGATTCTAGGCTAGTGTTTTTACACCTAGCACTATGACATTCGCCTGCTGATAGAGAGGGCAGACACTCGCCCAATTATCCTTTGTTGACAAGTGGTAATTTTGAAAAATTTGTAGAACAATTAGAACCAGAAGAAAGTCACTTTTAATTCAAGATAATGTATGAAAAATTAAGGAATTCCTTGAATCAATGGGCCCTAATAAACTAAAGAAACTAAACACTTAATAGGAATATTTGAGGCCTATCTAGACCTATTCTAAAGACACAAGGATTAAAGTTAGATGTAGGCAGTAGGCTGAGATTAATTTGTACCCTAGCCTAGATAAAATCTTCACATGATTACCTGTCTGCACTGACCAAAAAGTGATTATTCTCTCAAATGCTTGAGAAATTGTTTATTTCTTTGACGAATGTCAATAAAATAGTAAACTCATGACAAGTTCTTCAAACACAATAAATTATTTATTCATTGTACTGTGTAAATGTACACCATTTTCAATCCTGTGTGCTCGCATGTACTGCAGCAGGAATCCTCATACACACAGGTAGATGTAATATCTTCACAGATATATTGATCACATCACTATTGCAACCAAATAAATTAATGCATTAAAAAAAATCCTTTCTTCATGCATTAATCCTACCTTTGTATAATAATTTCAACTAGTGTATGATACACAACTATTCCAATTTCTTAATACACACATTATCAGGGGCCCCAATCATCCCAGAAGGTGGTGGCCAGTCTGTTTAGCTGACTGAGCTATGCTGCACTATGACAGCTGAACTGTATAGTAATTTAATTGGAAAAACAAATTAGACCAAAAGGCTATGATGGACATACGACATTTCAATTTATATACCATATTACCTTTTGTGTTAACTAGAAATTTCTAATTTATAATTTTATATATTTAGAAACCACAGCAACATATTCTTACCTTTGGCCTCAGCATTTGGAAGAGTTTCAAAAACCTGCTATCATCTGCCCTGAGGCTGCCACTTCCAAGCGGATCTAAAAGATTCCATGCTTTAGCCAGCTCCGCTCTTTCTCGTGCTCGCTCCTTCTTCACATCCTTTTTGGCAAATTCCCTGTCAGAAAATCATCATTAAAATATTTAACAAGATGCATTTGATTTTGTCTAATAATCCAAAATAAAATGACACTAGGAAGACTTGTCTCCTTGTTACTTGCCCAAACTTCTAAATGGAACAATATAAATTGATGTTATAGTATTTCACATGCAAGAATTCTTTGGCTTTGAACTCTATATTGTTTGCATCTTTAAAACACTTCAAATAAAAAGCTTGGTGAATCGTAACATACTGCAGACATTATCAGTGTTTTTTATGTATATGAAATTCTTGATTAAATGACATGGCATTGTTTGCTTAAGGAATCGGAGTCGGAGATATATACCATCTATCTATACTGTAAAATTCCATATTTGAAATGCATACTATTGTATGCCCATATATAGTAATGATGTACAGGTATATATGGTCATGATCAAACCTATAATGGTCATGATATTATGCATCATGACTATTGGCATGTCACATGTTTTTGTCAATAAAATTTGATAGCCTGGACAGGGCTTTCTGTTCAAACTCAAGGACAGAACATGGATAAAATCACACAAAGCAGTGAGCAACCCCGAGGCTAAGCAAACATACTTACCTCCAATTCATACTCTGCTTTCTCAATAATATTTACTTGATAGTATTTGAGTTCTTATTTGTAAAGCAGTCCAAAAGCATTTAGATTGACTTACCAATAACTATCCACAATGATAGCTAGCAAGATGGCTGTAAGGAAGAAGACACCAACGAATAGGTAGATCCCAAAATAGAAGAAACTAAAATGATTGCCAATATAAGCTGGAATCATTATTTCCTAAATAAAAAGAACAAAATAAAATATCAATCAATAAAAATCAAAGAACTCAAAATGTATATTTTTAATATAATTGATTTATTTATTCCAGAACCCAACACTGTACAGACACCAATACAGGGTTGCAATAAAATACAATACGAACTATAAATATATAAAAAACATTTAGACCATACAGAGTTCATTTTTTTAAAAGTTGAAATATTAGAATTAAATATATCAATATCAACACACATCTGAATTAAATTTTTATGAGTACAGTAAAAGCAACATGGCAAAAATTACCAGTTTTAAAAACAAAAACACACGAAAACTGAACTTAAAATTATTACAACAAAGCTTGTGCACAGGAAAATTAAAGTCCCTATGACTAAAAGCTGATAGTGGGGATAGCTTCATCATTGTATATAAAATTCTGTATAATATGTTGCCCATCTATTTTGTAATATTTCAATACTGTTCAAATAATTATAAATTTAGACATAGCAATTCAAATATTGTTTTGCCTCTAAAATAGAGGTAATATCAAAAATGAAGCTTATCTTATAATTGGAGCATTAGAATGGAATAATCATGGCTTAGATATACAAAATGCAGCAACACTGTTAATTTAAGCATAAGAATAATACTTTATAAAATGAATAATTAATATGGCAGTCATTCCGACAATTTGATGTCTAGCTCTTCAATGGTTGCAACGTGTACACCTATTTTACTATTTAATTTCAGTATTTTGAAATTTACTCACTTAAAAAACACAATAATAATAATAATAATAATTTATTGGATCTTCTCTTTTAAAACAGAGGCACATGTTATATAAAACGGTGAGTCATCAAATCACATAAACATAAATAATATACAGGAATTTACATCTTAATTAAAAGAGGTAAGGTAAATAAGTCAAATCGGAAGTTTTATCAAACAGAAGACCGATATGAACAATTTAAATAATACATCATTTCAATTTGAATAACATGATATTCGATTGATATAGTTTCAAATCATATATGGTAAAATATCATCTATTTTACCCCATAATGATTCTTCCAATCAATCATGCTCTATAACAAATAATGATACTGTTACATTGTATACTTACTGGGTAATTTTCAGTTGACAACAAAACAAATAGCCTCAAAAAAGTTATAGCAACATTATTAAAAGCACTGAAAAGACAGAGAAACACTAAACATTACATTGATTTTTTCATACATCAATCATTGGAGCAACACAAAAAAAGCGTATGAAACCGTTGAATTGTTTAGTTAGATAAAAACGAATATGATATAGTTGTTAAGTCAAACAATTTGACTAGTTAGAGATCATATCAAACAAAAAAATCCCATATAGGGTAATTCTATGTCAAATCAACCAAGAATTTATCTCAACCTAAAGAATTTGACCTTAAATTTTAGTATGTGGTTAGGAACCACGAGAAGCGATCAGAAATAAAAACAAAAGTTTTGTTCTAGTCCACTTAATTAGTAAGATATGTGCTAACAAGTTTGAGCTAATTAGCGATACCTTGCATAAGTATAACACTATTGTGCTGGTTTTGGTGTCATTTTAAAGCTATTGAGTAGTTCTATAACAGTATAAATAAAAAATCTGCAAGTCAACCATAAAAAAAAGTTGCTATAGATGAATTTGAAGTTGAATAAAATAAACACATATTTATTTTTCTTCAAAATTACATTAGAGATACAGTATAGGAACCCCACGATTTCATTCAATATAAAAAAAAAAGAAGAAACAAAAGCTGCCCATGTTGCATTAACAAAACAATCTAAGGTTTAACAACATTTTGACATTGATTTGAAATAATATTTCCATAAATTTCACCAATAGTGCATCTGACAATGTTTTATGATATGAACTGATTATTGTATTAAAAATTGAAATTTTTCTTAAAAATTTTGTGATTGTAAGAGTTTACTATACTGATGTAATGGATGATTCAAATTCTTTTAATTTTACTGATTTTTGAAATGACATGCAATTTTGAATGGACATGCCATATATAACTGTTCACTGCTTAAAGAAGTTTTAGAGTGCCCATCACAGAATTTATTGGGAAGCTTTTTTACATCATAATTTACTGCATCTCTAACATGCCGTAGACGGAAAAAAAAGATATTTGAACTTTATAACTTTGAATTTTATAATCTGTCACTTTGTGGTTGAATTATACAGTTAGCATATATTTATAAAGCTATAGCAGGGGCGGATTTAGGAGGGCCGGGTAGGCCCCGCCATCCCTCCCAGCCTTTTGGAAAGTCAAGAAAAAAGAAAAGAAAAAAACTGATCGCCCATATTGCCCGAGGTTATTTTCGGGCGTCTAGAAAACAAATATTTCGTGGGGGCATGCCCTAGACCAAGTAGGGTGGTGTTATCTCGATCGGCCCCCATCTTCAGCCCCCCGCCCTTTCAGTCTGCCTTTCGGACATCTGTGGATCCACCACTGTATAGAGCTACTCAATAACTTTAAAAGGACACCAGAACAAGCTCAATAGGTGATACTTACCGAGATATGGTCAGTTAAATACCCAAGTTATCGCTAATTAGCTCAAACTTCATTAGCACATATCTCACTAATTAAGAAGCCTTAAGCTTTCAAAGCTTTGTCCACACTATCAAATTTTATGTGACAAATTTGTATGATGTGCCCATATACGGGCACCATGATGTCATATTTAATTACCTCAATATGAGCATATCACATCTATTTGTCACATCCAATTTGATAGTGTAACCAGAGCTTTACAGCTGTTTTGACATTATGTGTACATTTACATACAAAACATTTAATGGTTACAGTAATCATTAGTTTCTAAGTTACTAAATGGTGGACATTTTTAATTTATGCAAATTATTACCTGATAATGGTAGATTTCAGATATAATTTTTACAATCAACTGAACAAGTTTTGCCAAAACAATCTTTAACCCTTTGAACAATGCATTATTAACATCTTGTGACATCATCACCCTGAGTTATTTGGACAAAATATGCTTTTTTTGATTACAATCATCACCACTACCTCCTATGCACTGTACCGCTACCATAGCCATCCATCAACCTGACGCACAACTATCATCACTGCCACTGGCACTAGCACCACTATCGTGATCGGCCTAGCCTAGGGCTAGAAACTACACTGTTTACCTCACTTTCACTTTCCAAATCACTTCCTGGATAATCGTCATCATCAATATTTTATCATAAAGTCTCAATCGTAAAGCACCGTTGGCATTTATTGTCAAATTATTCAATATAAATTTGTTTTTTCAAAAAAATCTACACCTACGAGGCTGGCCGTTAGAACGACTTGGGAATGATGATGTCACAAAATTACGTCATATTACTCATACTAGTCAGGTGATTACCCCGAATAACGTCACCTGACCCGCAAAGCCGGTATACCGACCTTTAGGGTTATTGCAGCGTAAGCGCGGCCGTTTTTCCGGCTTTCCTCGTTCAAAGGGTTAAGGATATTTAAAATAAAATTACTTTAATGCACATGGGCCAAGGATATCCAAAACAGTGAACCTAATGATTTTTCTAAAGTGGAAATCTCTTTACAAGACAAGCATACACACGCACTCACACAAGAAACTCTAAATATTCTAAGTCACTTTAAACCTGGACCACAACGAAAACCAGTGTCTTTGCACTGCACCTCAGTATAAAGGAAGTTGAATATTAGTGTACATCAGGCTTACCTAGTCCAGCTGGTTTTGAGAAACCGACACATGAATTGAGCCTAAGACCCGGGGACTGGAAGGCATGAATCTTAACTACCAACATATCCAACTGTTCTCTACAAAAATAAAGCGGCTTTAGCCCATTATTCTCTCTTAGCATGCCGCTAACTTGTCTTTTTGTACTTCATTGTGTTTTTGTATATGAACATACCAAATATATAATAAATTTATAATAAATACCCATGATAAACGCTGGTCTCTGTTGTGGTATAATTTTCTGATGTACAGTTATAATCCTCAGGTATGCTTTGGTAATCCTCCATAAACAGGTGAACACCAACTGCTGAGAACAGCATAATGAAGGTGAAAATAATGAGAAATCCCTGAGAAAGAGAATGAAATTCTGTTCAGACTATCAAATTTTATTTGACAAAAATGTGACATGCCTAAATATGGTCATGAAGACATCACATCATGACCATATATGGGCACATCATGACTAATTTGGGCATACAGCAGTTTTTTGTCAAAGAAAATTTTAGAGTATGGACAGAGCTTTAAAACCATAGTATGGACAGAGCTTTAAAACCATAGATATGTGTGGTGTCATAACAAAATGAGTCTTGTTTTTTCGTTTGTTTTTATTTCTTGCTGTTTTCGTGCAAAAATCAAATGACTAACCAAATACAAAGGAAATTTAACATCACCAAAAAAAAAAAAAAAAAATACATCATAATCAATTTAAAGAGAAATTGAAAGGAAAAGAGCAATGCGCAGAAGGAAAACATACAAAAAAAAAACAAAAAAAAAAAAAAAAAAAAAAAAAAAAAAAAAAATGAAATAACACGCTAAACTTATGAAAGGTCAATCTGATATATTCAAGAACTATACTGTATATGAGGAGATATTTTGAGTGAAATATGTTTTTAATGTTTCTAAGAAGTTTAACATTTATCAGTTTTGCTTTAGAGGTGATTGTCTCTGAAGTTTTTAGACATCTGATTTTTAGAATGATATTTCTGGTTGACCAAAATAAACTTATAGTAATCAATCTAAATGTATCAATAACTCATGTTTCATTGTTGGTAAAACAAAAATAATTTTGTCGTGACAGCCAATAGTAAGAGCTGTTAGTCTGTAAAAAAAAAAGGAAAAAGAAAAAAAAAAAAAAAAAAAAGATAGCTACAGAGAGAGCCTGGTATAAATGTAAAGCTCTGGCCATCCAGATTATGAAATTTTATTTGACAAAAACATGTGACATGCCTAAATATGGTCATGATGACATCACATCATGACCATACAATCTAGGACAAAAGTAAAAACTGGAATTATTGCTCTGGATGTGATGATAAAAAAAAAATCAAAATTATGAGAAGGGAAGTTAAAAAAAAAAAAAAAAATCAACAGATACGTGCAGTGGCACCTCACAAGGCTCAGCATTATTTTATTATTTATTTAGTTATTTATTAGTACATACAATAGTTGACAACAGTATAAGAGATGACAATTTAGACTAGATTTAATATTAACAAATTAATTATATTAAAACAGAAAAATTATCTGAAAGGAAGGAAAAACATCAAAACTTTAAAAAAAAAAAAAAAAAAAAAAAAATGAAATAACACGCTAAACTTATGAAATGTCAATCTGATATATTCAAGAACTATACTGTATATGAGGAGATATTTTGAGTGAAATATGGTTTTAATGTTTCTAAGAAGTTTAACATTTATCAGTTTTGCTTTAGAGGTGATTGTCTCTGAAGTTTTTAGACATCTGATTTTTAGAATGATATTTCTGGTTGACCAAAATAAACTTATAGTAATCTATCTAAATGTATCAATAACTCATGTTTCATTGTTGGTAAAACAAAAATAATTTTGTCGTGACAGCCAATAGTAAGAGCTGTTAGTCTGTAAAAAAAAAAGGAAAAAGAAAAAAAAAAAAAAAAAAAAAGATAGCTACAGAGAGAGCCTGGTATAAATGTAAAGCTCTGGCCATCCAGATTATGAAATTTTATTTGACAAAAACATGTGACATGCCTAAATATGGTCATGATGACATCACATCATGACCATACAATCTAGGACAAAAGTAAAAACTGGAATTATTGCTCTGGATGTGATGATAAAAAAAAAATCAAAATTATGAGAAGGGAAGTTAAAGGAATTTTACAACAGGATCTGCATGGTCTAAGCAAATGGTCTGATGTCTGGCAACTGAAGTTTAATCTAGATAAATGTGGAGTATTTCATATGGCAAGCAATAGGATAATTGTCACCTACAGCATGAGAAGTGGGGAGATTTAATAGTATGTGATGAAGAAAAGGACCTTAAAGTGATGCTTGACCATAGCCTGAAGTTTAGAAAACATGTTGGAGTAGTTGCCAATATGGCAAATTCATTAAATGTAATTTTAATTATATTGATGAAGAAATGTTTAAACCACTTTTCAAAGCACTTGTACGATCACACCTGGAATATGCCAAATATGTTTGGAGCCCATTTTTGCAGAAAGATGCCAATTTAATTGAAAAAATGCAGAGCGAGCTACAAAAATGGTTCCATCTATTAGCTGGTTTTGCAAACTGAGTAATGAATATCTAGAATATGCTTCCTGCTGACAGGTCCAGTAAGAATATTTTCCTTCTGCTATCATTAAATTTATATAATAAAAAAATATATATAGTATATAAATAATGAATTTAAGCCTATTCAGTGGTACTTGATGAATTATGGTGGGGCAAAGAAGATTTAAAAGTCTTATAAATAATAGCGCCAAACAAGACAGGTGAATACCATAGGCACAACATGACTATATCATTATGGGCATACAACAGCTGTGTTCGTCAAGGAACATTTTATAATTTGGATAGAGCTTCATAGGATACCATCTTAAAGTGAAAAATAAGAGTCGTTTGTTTCTAAAAATGTAAACGTCCAGTATCATTATCAATTGACTGGCACTTGCAACAGTTATTGAAATTCTTAATTCATAGTGCTTTAAAAATATACTTATATTTATTTAGAATCAAACTTAATACTCACTTTCCCTAGTTTTAAAACAATTGAAGTTACCACATCATATATGTGACCAACGTTTCTTGATTTGCAAAGAATTATAGCTGCACGAAGGCATCGAAATGGCTGCACAAGACGCTAAAAATAAAGACAGCAAACAAAAGTATAAAATTAGGTACATCTGCATTGGTCTCTAATAATAAATACTTAATAGTGCCTTTCTTCAATTCAACTACTGTAGAGAAGTATTACTAAAATTTGCAGGTTGTTTGAAACTTGCATACGAACGTGCAGTACTAATAGATATAATGCACAGCTAATGTCACCATGCACCCCTTCATTCACTTTCAATATGTTATACCCTGGATGATAACTCACACCCCTGGATACTAACCTGCATTCAGGGATAAGTTGCACTCCTGGGTTATGTCTATGCATTTCTATATGCATTACAGGATGTACCTGTGGGATGGTAAGCAGACACGTTCTTGCCCTGGGCTCCAAAATGCCTACAGTAGTTACCAATGCCATAGCCAGGATTTTCAAACAGTATCTGGGTGGACCCACTTTACACGTAAATTCAAATAATGTGGACCAGTTTTCTTAAAAGGTGAACCATTTTACGCAAAAATATGAAAAATCTGGACCCATTTTCTAAAAAATTTACCCATTTTAGGCTAAATATAAGAAATCTAGACTTGTTTTGCATAAAATTGCATAACTTGGACCCATGTTTAAAAATGTGGACCCATTCTTTGTGGATCCATTAGAAAACTTATGTGGGACTGTCCCAAATGCAGGCTACAGCATTGCTAGTTACCCCCCTAATCCCTAGATGCCAAGACAACATGTATTATCCCTAGATGCTAACTTGTACAGCATTTCTAGGTGCCAACATGCATGCCTGCATGTGCCTCGAATTGCTACTGGAAACCCACGTAATTCAATTTTATTATCAAATTAAAAAAGCATAAATCTAAAATACAGTAATTCATAAAATAATCATTATATTTTGGTATTAATAATACTTAGTATTATTAATAACAGCAAAAAATTAAAGAATACTTACTATCGCTAGTACTTCCTCGAGTATCAAAATCATGAAATCAATAATATAAAAACAAACAAATATAAACTCCACCCTGTAAAAAGAAAACAGATGGGAAACACTTCAATAATAATAATAATTTATGAATCACATCTTAGTGGATGAAAGTTGTTTGAAGCTTCTTTTCATTCCCATCTGCTATAAAGACAAATTCATGATTCTATTTTATCCCAAATAAGCCCATGACAGTATAAAAGAAAACTATTGATTTGCAGGTAAATTCAGTCACTGGAAATATTTGCATGTTACATTACCATACATCAATTTCTACCAACTTGAAATATTCAAGATGGATTCATGAATACCAAGTTAAAAATTAACCAATTTAATTTAACTGAATCCTTGAAGCATTATTGTTATCTTGAACCTTGATCAATAATAAACCACTATAGTTTCTATTAATTATTGCATCATTAATTTGGGGTATGGAAAATAATGTTATTGGATAAATCTTGCATCATAAAGGGACTAAGCTGTGTTATTAGAATTTGGAGAGCATGAATGAGCTGAAATGAGATCTGTCTTTATATGTTCAGCATGCAGCGAAAGCTCTAGCATAATGTACATCCTGAGGTGTGGGAAGGCATATAATGTATGTCCGTAAAGAGGTCTGAAAATCTGTCGAAGAGCCAGGGGTCACAAGGCCCTGTTCAAGATCCAGGTTGATTTGATTATACAAAGTTACTTATATTTTGAGTATGAGTTAAGTTGTCTAATGTTTAATTTTAAGCTACAAAAGTTATGTTCATACAGCCTTCCATCTAAAGTAAATTTACCAAAGACGTAAAATTTCATGTGCGAGTTACAGTACTTTCGACTAGAGCCCACACAATACTTACCCAGGGCATAATGTTCTTTTTACTTCAAAGCTAGTTCAAAGCTTAGAAGTAACTAAGTGAAAGTTCAATGTAAAGTGATAAAATCACCATTTTCGTTGTCTCCCAACGGTTATTTTGCATACAAATTCTTGAAATTGTAAACAATTGTAAAAACATCGTGTCAACAAAAGTTTACACAAAACAGGAAATGTTATTTTGGCACTCATCTAGTCACCTTTTGAAAAAAATCTGAGGTAATAATGAGGGTCGTATTGACTTGCAAGCTCTGATGTAAGTGCATCTAGATACTCTGAGCGCATATGCAATATATTCCTTGTGTAGTAGCACACATACTCCTGAGACTTTGTTAACTTTAGATCGTTTAACCTTCTGGTACAAAACATTTTTTATGAAATTGCAACATCACGATATTGTGAGTACAAGTTTAATGAGTTTTAGCTTGTATGGGCTGCTGTAAGGCTAGTCTTGCACTCATTTTAGGGGGTTGGCTTACACATCAGCAATACGAAAACAAGATTATTTCAGGTCAGGGTTTGGGGATTGACTTTCTACTTGGTGTCAACTTATACTTCGGAAAATATGGTACGCAAATAAATAATTAGCATATATTCACACGTACCAAAAACAACAGGCTCTGTCAATTTATACCACCTTTAGTAACTAAATTTGAAATCTTCTATGGGAATTATGATAGTATTTATAACTTAGGGTAAATTTCCTGATTTCTGAAATATTAATTATGCAAATGAGCAATTAGATTTTAAGCCTGTTACAGACAGTACATCTTTAATTTTTTAATACGTAGCCATAGCCCAACATATTTGTTTATTAATTAGCCTACAGTAGCACTACAGTAGTGAAATTTGACAGTTATTGTAGTAACCATGGGAACCAACAGAAACACTCAGATGATGACATCAGTGTCATGCTCTATATGTTATGAAATTTAAACCGGAGTTCAAAAAGCAAAGAACAAAGAAAGATTTTGTCCTTGAGCTCTGCTGGACCTTTTGTTCAACAGCTCTGCTGGGGCAAGAATAACCATTGATACAAAGCTAGAGATGAGGCTTTACAAACACAGAGCAGGAATTACAGAATTTATGACAGACAAGTAGAAATTTTGTTTACTATAAAGCTAGTATACTTCTGTTATAAACTCTGAAAAAAAAACCACTTTAAAAACATATAATTGCTTCAGAATTAACAGTATATTTCTATCTACCACAGCATTGGGTTGGTTAGTAATCCTACTTTGTTTGTTAATCTATTTTAGATGATAATAATAAAGATAAGATTTTTTGTTGGCCTAATGGAATTATATACTTGTAGGTATGTATCCATGGAACGCACCATACTTCATAAATTGTTTTAAAATATTTACCTTGTCCATTTATTTTCATCCAAAGTCCAGAATATTCTCCATGAGAGAAATTTGATTCGAACAAAAACATCTAATGCGTACACTAACAGGCAGACAGGAGTGAGTACAAACACTACCTTAATATGGTTACTGCAAATAAAAAACAATGAGAATTACACTGGTATTGGTACTGGTAATAGGCGAGACTTTTCTTATTCCTAATTATTTTTTTTTTAATCATCGGAGGAGGGTGGCATAGAAGTAAAACTAAAATTTTGTTTTCTTACAGTATTTAGCAAATAGTTTTGCCAAAATCATCCAGATGGAGAGGAAAATAAAAATAAAAATTTTATTTGTGAATGTAAAATAGGATGGTTAAATGCTTCAAATTTATATAATTAGGAAGAAATATACATATCTTATATTTGGAGATTTCAAGGCAGTCGAGGGCGTAATAAAAATAGAGAAAAACTTTTATTTTTTTTCTGAAATTTCCACTTTTTCGTGGTAGCAGGTGTGCTAATTGGCCAAAAATAAAATTTTATTTTTATTCGAAACCATCAATATTTGCAGTCGGCAGGTTTGCTAAACAAGGTATAAAAAAGTCTTGCCTTACTTAACATCAATAGTTCAGATCTTACACACATCTAAGCATACAGTAGTAGGCCTACAGCATATCTCACAGAGTATATCTCACAAAATACATGCAGTACATCTCACATAGTACATCTTGCATAATACAAACAAACCTCATGTAGTACACATACTTCTTGCAAAGTACATCTCACCTAGTCCGTTTCACATATCTCGCATAGTAAATCAAACATAGCATATTATAGGCACAGTATACCTGACACGTATATCATCATTTAGACATTATGGTTTACAAAATGTACTGTTACTCCCAGATATCTCTGTTAAGTTTGAAAAGAAACTTTGAATAACTCTCACATCGGTAGTTGACTGTTACTGTGTTTTTTTTTTAAGAACTTAGTACCGGTATTTCCAGTTTATTTTTTTTGTTAGTATCATTTTGTAATGTTGTTGGCTAATTTTCTATGCGTCAAGGAAGACGTACAGTAGTAAGTATCACAATCGGCCATGAAGCATCCAGACACATGCAAAGTTTCACAGTACAGTGTATCTTAAAGGACCTGAGGAGAACACTGTACTGCAGCCCATGAAATTTGGAAAAAATTAAATCGACAAAAATTTGCCGATTGCCGAAGTGAAATTCATGGGCTGTGTAATGTACTGTGCAAGATTTTCTATGCAGATATACTTTGTGAGATATATGGGATTATTCAGAAGGAATTACATCCAAAATACTCACTCTACACCGGGTGGTTCTAGGAATGTTAATATCAAGTGGATTACTGTCATGAAGAGGATGAGTCGGTTAAACCAATTGCTCTCTATCATCATAAAGCACCTGTAGAAAAACCGAACCATTCTTTAAGCTGTCCAAATTATCAAAATATATTTTTATTTTAACATCTGGAATGAGCATGTGCAGGGATCAGTGGAACCTGGCGGTCGGCAAAGGTAAGGTAAGAAAGGTAAAATATATACAAAAATATGTGACATGCTCAAATATGGTCATGATGACATCACATCCTGACTATATGGGCTTTCGATTTGCAACATAGATCATAAGGACTTTTCAAATGTTTTTGTTTTGACTATTTTTTTAATAGAGTATTGCATATTTTGACTCTAATTTTCTCACCAATTCAGATGTACATGTAAGAGTACATTTTCATGAAACAGATTTACATTGTAAGTTACCTCCTAATATTCTTATTTGTACGATTAAAAATTACTCTTATTTGTATTTTTCAATTTCCCTTTTTCATGAATCATGTTTTACTGATTGTAAATTGACTGTATTTAAAAAAAAATTATTCTAATTTTCCAATTCATTACATCTCTTCAATCTTAATTCTCTTCTGTAGCAACTGTTTGGTATTTTCCTATTTGTCTCAATTGTTAAAATTCAATATGAATATGAGTACATGTACACTTTATAAATGCCCAACCATTTTGTGATGAAACTGTGTTAATAATCCCAGTAAATTTTAGCTATATGCACAGTAGTGTAGATATTTTAGGTCATTTAAAACTGTCAACTATTTCTTCTCCTTGCCACTATGTCCTATGCCAGTATGTTTCATACTTGACAGGCTCCACCTATTCCATAACTTTGGCAGTGACTTACTTGCTTAGTTTTAATTGATAAATTTGGTCACCAAATTTTAGCCTAAAGTGGAATAGGGTCACCACATCAAAAAGTTTGAATACCAGGAACAGAGGAATACACCCTCCCCCTTTTCCAATTAAACCCTGTGATAAATCGCCTCCTCCTTTTGTACCATCAGAATACTTTAATAGCACACTGGGGAACGTAGTAAGTTGGAATATTTACAACCTTTTTTACTAATTATAACTCACCATCGTCCAAACTTGTCCTTGAAGTAAGAACGCGCTTTTCCATACTTCCCCCGACCACTGAGGGCATCATCAATGTGTGCTGCTGCTAATTTCAATTCCCGATTCTCACCATGTAATTCTGTAAAACTCTTTGTCAATGCATCATGCTGGTTTTTAAAAAAAATCATTGCAAATAAAATTAAATATTATAAATAAACATATAATAATCTGGTAATATACAGTACATATAATTATAAAATTATATTGCCTGTTGCCAAGGTTTGGTTTCTGGCAAACCCCCTTTTTTTGTCCAGCCAATCCCAGTTACCAAACAGCCCATAAACACTAACAAAAATCTTTCCCTCTATGTCCAGCATGTTTTTTCCTCTTTCCTTCACATTGAAAATTGCTTTTGTTGGATAATTACAATACTCTATTTCTTTTAACTGCAAACCCAAAGAGGGTTTACAAAAAGAAATTATTTATTGTTTAAAATTTCAATTTGGAGCGTAATAGTGCTGAACGAGCGCTGCAAACTGATATATAGAGTGCAAGTGATGGCATTACTCAAATTACACAGTGTATTAACTAGGAAGACTCGCCTTCATTATTAACTGCCAAAGAAAAAATGTATTCACTATCATACGTAAATTTATCTGATCTTTTCATTTATTTTACAAAAATGCCTCATTAATTAGAGTAGTAGTAGTAGTAGTAGAGTAGTGTTTGTGCAGCAGCTGGACAGTCAGTCATGTGGTTCAGAGTCTGGACAATCTCAATGGAAGATACATCGCAAGGGAAATTACGTGGCTGTAGTCGTTTCTAAATACTGTAGGAAGCTGTTTCTGAATCAATGGCATGTATGTATAAATCTTAAGGCAAGAGAGTAGGCTATAAATGCATAACTGCCTATCTGTTTGAATGAAATGGAATCCCAGCTTGCAAGTGAAGACTGATGCTAAGATTTTAATGCACATCACTATCAGCAACACCAACATGAACAACAAAATTTTGGGCCTTCCCTTGGCTTATCTGGCTATTCGCTAGCTGTGACCAAATCAGATATAAGCATGCTTTAGCCTTGATTTTAAATAAACTACTACGTAGTTGTTTTCACTGCCTTTAATTTTGCGACTTTTTTGTTGGGATGTACAGTATTTTATAACTAATCATAAACGATAATAAGAAATGTCAAACCCAGAATTCCCCTTTAAGTCTCTGAACCCCCATTGGGCCCTTACTGTACGATCGTATTAACCAATGATCAGAATCCCCCTTATGGCCACATGCTTGAAAGGCATGAAAATCTAAAATCTTACTGGGAGTTTTTTTTAGTGTAATATCATATTTAAAGCCAAATTACTTTAATGATTGAGTTACTATGGAAATATTACCTTGACAATTTAATGAAAAGAACAGTCAGACAGTTCAAAGTGCATACTGAGATTTACTATATAAATTTTGTGAGGGACTGTGTAAATATTTGCTATTCACCGATAAGTAACGTTTGAGTCTATACTCCTGATTCAACTAAAGCCTGGGTAATAAATACTGTGTAACTGTAGAATTGAACATTATGCTTTGTATTTTACTGTAGGCTTCTGATTTACTGTATGTTTAATTTAAAACTTGAACAATCATTTATCATCAAATCATCTGTACAAATGAGAATTTGTGTCTAAGATGATAGAAAATACAGTATATAAAAAACATGTTTCAGAAAATGAACAATTTTAAAATGATTAAGTAGGTCTATACAGTACTGGACGCAGGGTTCCCGGAACGCCGCCCTCAGCAGCGTGTGCGAAGCACAACTTGAAGTCACAAGTGGAACGTGAAATTTCGATATGGTTTTGTAGTCAGATTTGCGAGAAAAACTTTAGCTACCTGTATTTCTCGACAGAGACGTCAGCGGAAGCCCACACACCTTGTAGTTATTGATATTTTGGTTATAATAGAAAATTTTTATTTTTTGTTGACGTCACACTCAGAATATAGCTAGATTACGTCACCTTTTCATGGTAAGGCAAACTTTCCCGGCGTGCTTTTTTCATGGATAAACAAACACCACTGCTTTGCACATGGATGGCTTGCCTAGCTAGGGTTACAAGAGTCGCATTGTTAGCATTGTATGTATAATACTTAAACAAGGTACGTCTGCAACTGAATTATTTACTATCTTAGTTTTTTTTTTTCTTTTTATTATTTTTTTCAATTTATTTCTTTCGAAAGTGTACTTTCTATCACATATAATTGCACTGTCTACTTAGGCCTAAGCCAAGTCTTATTATGCCTCAACGCCCCCCGCTACACAGTACATCAGTAGGCTAGCAGCCCACCCTCCCATGCTACAGTACAGACGTTTGCTAGGCAATAGAACGTGATTGCACCTTCCTTCCCGTCTATGTTCATGTAACATAAGCATATTGTTAGCTAACCAGTTGTGTGTATTCCTTTGTGAAATTGAGTACCGCGGCATACAGTACTCATTTTCACAAAGCATTTGCATCCCCTCTTGGAAAGAAGGAACTTCGAAATAATTGTCTAATAATTCGCTAATTAATCCCCAAAATTTAGCTTACACTTACTGTATGCATGGAGGGAGCACTTAAAATGGACAATAATCATTTCACTACTCGACAACAACCGAACTTTATTCATGCATTACATAAATAGTTTCATCTTGCTGTACTACAACATCAATGGCGCATGGTAACAACCAACTGACTGCAGACAATTTCCGGTCACACATTACTCTCCATAATGGAGCACCCTCCCCTAGTTCCATCACCTCTGGATTAGATTTCTTCAGTGTAAATACACACCAAGGATAACCAACAGAAGTCCTGAGACTTAATACAGTAATGATAGTTAATTACTGTACTTCCAGTAGGTTATTTCCAATTGGGTATGTACTGTCTGACATGATTTTAAAAATTCCAATTTCCATATATTGAACATTTTACCTAATTTGTATTTACAGTAAGTAATTTATTATTATTTTACAATTAAAAATTTAATTGAGAACAAATTTCCCCCTCAATTAACAGACAGTTAAATAATACCTTGGTTTCCTGTATTCTTTTGCATACTGTACTGTAGATCCTTATATTGGTTTATGGTAATCAATTTGGATTTTGTAGTTAAAATGTCTGTAAATCAATTTTTTAAAACTGTTTCTTTGATTTGGAAGTTATCCCTTATTTAATTCATTTCAAATGAACTACACTTGTTCATTAATTTGGATTGAATTTTTGAGGGCTGTTTTTTCAGTTGTTGTTTTTTTTTTTTTTTTTTTTTTTTTTGTAGATACTGTAAGTTCTTCTGTAATTGACATTTAAAATAAAAATGTTAATGTCTTATCAGTATCTGTACAGTAAGAAGAAAGGTATTTATAGCTAATTATCCACATGCTACTGAAAAATAATACACAGTAGGTTCACTGTTTCTATAGCCTAATTAAAAAAATGAAAATCAAATAAATGTCAAGATCTGAAGGTAACACCTTTTTAAGAAGTATTTTATAACATATTCTTAACAAACTTTCGGCAGTTACACGCAAGTCTTCATTAAGTATTTAAAAGTAGTGAACGTTATAATTTTTATTAAAACATGTTTGGAAAAATAGAAAATAAGTCTGAACACCATGACCTAAAAGCAATAAGCATGCATCAGCTGACAGATGTCAGAGCAAAAATAGTTCAGGAGAAAAAAAAAACATTCTGGCAGACTACTTTTTGCCACCGGACACCTACTACTTGTATGAAGGAAAAAAATATTGAAAAAAAATCATTCTTACCCCGTCTATTCCAGGAACAAGGCATAGAGCTGGCGTAAGTAATCCATATAAAATGAAATTCTCTTGAGAGTCTCGTTCTTTAAAGGTCCGTATTGAAATCGGCGATTCCATCATAGTCTCCCCAGGTATTAACTTGGTATCTGAGCTATTCAACGACGCACAACAATTATTCACACCTTCATTGACTTTTGCTTCTGGGCTATAATTCTGCAAGTCCAAGGTATCACTCCTTGTATGCTCCTTAACTAGCAAAGAGAAGTTGTTTGGCGCAACGATTGCACTTTTTCGTGATTTTCTTGGTCTTTTCTCAACATCAGTTTTTATGCTATTCCCATTCCTCATTTCCCAATGTTTCAATGGTACGATTTCCTTCTCCAACGGATCATCTACTTCTAGAGGAGTTAAGGAACTTACAGAATGTTCAACTCTCAAATCTTCATTACTCTTTGCTTGATCATCGGTTGATGTATTTCCAAGGCTCTGTGTCAGTTCCTCAGCAGTGGAATCACTTTTGCCAGGGCTTTTTTCTTTGGTAGGATCAATGGACGGTAGATTTAATATTTGACAGTTTTCTTTGGGAAGCTGAAGGGTTGGCACACTTATTTTCAATGCAGAAAATGCTTCGGTTTTATCCTCCACTTTCAATGTATTATTTTCATCTGCATTTTTATCATTACCAATATCTTCCTTATCAGATTCCTCCTCATTCTTTTCCATTTGAAGGATACAATTTGTATATTCCCTAATAAGGGCATTGCTCTCTTCTTGGTCTTGGTCTTCCCTTTCCTCGCACTCCATTTTAAATCCAGGAGTATTTTGACAGGGAGTCTTCTATCTGCTACAAAATATCAGAAAGAGAAGAAGCAGAAAATGTTGTCATAAAATACATTGGTGATGTAAACTTAAAAAAGTAACATGACATACTTCTGACGCCTGCTATGGCCGCCATTTTGAATTTAAAATGGCCGCCTCTAAAAGACGGGATCCATATATCTTGGCCTGTCTCTTATACACATCTAGATGTGTATAAGAAACAGCCCCACCCATGACTGTAAACAAAACTAATGGAAGCAACATCATTCTCAATTTTTATTAATGTACTACTCCTGTAGAATTTATTTTTTTCTAACCTGATTGTGATGGGTCTTTATGATCATTTTGTCGGTAATTATGTTCCACATTTACAGTCAAATTAAGGGGCGTCTATTTGAGTATTGATTGAGGCAGACACGTTAAAAACAAATTTAAACCCCGTTTGAAAATGAATTGGCGTCGTCACCAGGTGAAGTTCTCCCCATATGAACGAATTAAAAGAGGATACACCCAGAGGGACACACAAGCTTTGGCTTCAGAAGTCTCGATATCAAGGTACTGTATGTAGCCCTACTATAACTAGGGCCTAGGCCTAGGCTAACCTAGAATATCATTCATTTATCATCATTATTTCTTAAATTATTAAACGTAACTAGGCCTAGGTAGGCCTACTGTACTACTAGGGACCACACATAAAAAATGTAACTATAAAGTCAGATCAATCCATTTGTATTATAATTGGATAAAGTATTCTTTTACGAGTTATTTGACACGTCTTTCAGCAAAATTGGTTAAAGTGTTACGGAGTTAGAGCATTTTGAAGTTTAAGGATTCGCATCGTTAATCAGTTCATTTTCCTATGGGAAATTTTGGTGAATACACAATCTTATTTACAGCTCATTAAATATTCATAAAAAAGTAAACAAATTAAAAACCATAGAACTCTTAACAATTACCCTTTTTGTTTCAAATTTTATTCACATGTATATCAAGTTACATTAATTCAATTAAACTATTTTTAGTAACACCTAAGTAAAAAAGACACCTGTTTCCATGGCAACCAAAATGGCTATATTTTAATAAACAAAATTATGCATAAATTATATGTAATTTTTGTAAATAAGCCCATTTGATTGGTAACAAATATGCATAATATTTGTTACGGTTGTTACAATGAAATTAAAATTAATTATACTCATGAGAGGCTAGTTACAATAGCAACCATTTTAAAAATTTTGTAGCCTGTTTTCTTAATTCTGTGAAAATTGGTGTCCAATTTATTTATTATAAATGCTGTTAACCCAGGTGCTTCAATGGCATCTTGCAGAAAAAAGTAAGACTTAACACCATTATGGTAAGTGCAATTACCCGAATTTAAATTTTTGATACTGTATTGTATTCCTTCTGCCAATTCATTGTTCTTTCTTGTTTTGTTTTGTTTGAATAAAAGGTAAGTTAAACATAAGAAAGGAAAAGGAAAGAAACGATATGGAATCATAAGAAAGGAAAAGGAGAGAAAAGATAAGGAAACATAAGAAAGATAACAGTAAGAATGATAAGGAACATAAGAAAGGAAAGGAAAGAAATGAATTTGGAATCATAAGAAGGTAAATGGAAAGAAAGATAAGAAATATAAGAAAGCAAAAGGAAAGGAAAGATAAACTAAGGATGAATAAGGAAAAGGAAAGATAAGGAAACATGAGAAGAGAAAAGAAAGGAAAGATAGACATGGAAAAATTAGAAAGGAAAAGAAAAGAAATGATAAGAAATATAAGAATGAAATATGAAAGACAGATACGAATTATAAGAAAGAAAATGAAAGGAAAGATAAGGAATCTAAGAAAGGAATGTGAAAGATAAGATAAGGAAACATAAGAAAGGACAAGAAAAGTAAAGATCGGGAACATTTGAAGGGAAAGGAAGAGAGACAAGAAGCAAAAGGGAAAAAAAATGAAAGGCTTTGGGATGAATAGGAAAGTAACAGGCCTTGAAATGGTTCCAATTACCAAAGCATTGTAATAATAACATTTATTGATAATCATCAAACCAATCATTTGAACTTAATTAATTTTTCTTCTTCTCTGTTGTTGTTAAGCGCCTCGAGGTTGTATCAACGTGAGGCGCTATATAAATCCAGAATTATTATTATTATTATTGTAATTAAATTATATTACTAACTTATGCAAATCATAAACTGTACACTATTTTTTTTTCAGATCGAGGAAGTGTAGATGGCCAATGGTCACTATTGAAACAACACGTGTCGTACATGTTGCATTCAGGATACCTGCTGTACCTACTTGGCTGACAACTTTGCTTTCTTCTGTATCTTTCTGAAATAAATGGACAAACACTGCCTGTGGTGTTATTGTACTGTTATA